AGCTCCAGCAATTCGACCAGGAGTGCACAAGTCAATCTGGCTGGACTACGTTCAATTGCTAGCCTACTAGTGTTTGATCGGTATACGAAATGATCTTAAAACGAACGGAGAAAAACGGAGAAACTTTTTAAAACGAACGGAGAAACTTATATGAAAATTAATGAGATATGTGCTATTGACCAGCGTGTTTTGAGCGGTATCTGAACTTATGAAACCAACATGTTCGATAGCAGAACGGAGGTTGGGGCTTTCTGTCGTTGTATAGAGTTTTTTCCCACTGGGTTTTTACCTCGGCCGACAGTTAGCTAATAAAAGCTGATTCTATAAAATTACTTGATACGGAATGGTGGAAGGCACACTAATACCACGTGACCGTGTCTAATGCCCGATAAAATCATGTGAACTCTCTCATTATCGTCTCTTAAGGATCCTAGGGCCTAGTTTATACACCGCTGCAGTAATAATCGGAGGTCATGATTGTTTTTGTGATCATATGTAACCCATCAGGAGTAGCGGCCTGATTTCTACGTGGGGTTATAAGTCTGGCACGATCTAGACCTCGTCATGGTGAATAACCACGCATATACAGTATGAGCTGGAAATTCGAATATACCCAACTCTTATGCCATGTCGTCACGTCATATGACAGACTGTGATATAAAGAAGACCAGGAGTCCGCCACATGATAAGGAATTCTGGACAGAGCACTTTTATCACAGTGAGGTTATTGTACTATCTTATCTACCATTGAAATAGGGGGGTTTCCGCCATTTAGGGTTCATCATGGGATTCCATAATGAACTGTAAGCATTCTCGTACAACCCTCAGATCGAGGAATGATGGTGGGTTCAACGGTTTTTCTTTTTGGTGTGCGGAGCTAGCTCAGATGCATCGGCAAGACCTGTCTCGCCATAATCGTTCATGCTAGATCCGAGGAGAGCTAACATTCTAAATGGCGTGGGAACTTATTTTTCTCACAAGGGAAGGGTCGTTCAGTGATCCAACAACGGGGAGGATCTCATTGATTGACGCTCAGATGATGATCAGTGAGTGGATCAGGGTATTAACTAGTTAGTTAACTACTCAGGGACATGCTCAGTTCCACTCAGTGATCAAAAGGCGGCAAGAGGTGAGCACTAAAACGGAAAGGTCTCGAGTGTCAGGCATTTTCCGATACATATGTTTGACACCTGTACGCTTACGAAATACCATGGGTAGTCATTGTATCCACCTGGGAACATGCAGGGGGCATATTCATTGGTTCCATGGTACGACATGATGGTTATCGGTGAGCTATGGCCAGGGCTTTTGGCCTTGCTTATGCCATGATAAGCAAGGCGGGTCCTACGCCCCTGTTTCCCATATCCATCACCGTCATCTATATTGCTTTGCAGAAATCTGTGCTTATTCCTATATTGGAAATGCTCGAGCAGATTACGAGTGCACATGATGAAACCGCTACCCGAATATCCGAACCTAAAACTGTCTGCGTCTGTGCTAGAGCAGCTGGTCAAGACCAAGCCGTCTACGGGTGCCTTCATCGGAACTATATCTTCAACAGCTACAATCTTGCAGTAACGCGAGGTAATCCGAAACTTCCATATCACATTATTCAACTCATTAAAGTAGACAGAAGGTGTATCTATCATCTATAAACAACGAAGCGAAACTCCATGCAAAGTGGCATTCCTTTCCCCATGCGCCTGAATGTGGGTTTCTTGATCCAGCAGACCGCCGGGGCCCGGAGACCATATAAAGGAGCCCATACACAATCCGTACATGTACCAGACAAAACCAAAAATATTTACTTTAAGCGCCATGACAGCTCCAGGATTTGATCACCATCCTTCTCATCGCGCATAACATACCACTGAGTGATACGGTCGTTCGGCTCGTGGACGGCATCCACCAACAGGAAGCTCTTCTTGCCCTCGTCCTTGCGGCGGAGAGGACCCAATTCGTGCAGATAAGATTCATCATTGGCACCATTGTGCGAATCCCAGGTTTGCTCCATGGACATGTCGTCCTTGTCTGGGTCAACGTGATACTTGATGACCGAGAAGCCGTTCGTCAAGATCCAGCCGTCGCCGAAGTGCCATTTGCGGAGGAGGCAGCTGTCGCCGCATAGCTCAGCGACCACCGCGAGCTTAGGCATGTCGGCGAGGAACCAGGACCTCCAGTGGTGCACTGTGAGCGAGGGCTCGCGGCCGGACTCGAAGAATCCAGAGGCATCGCGCATCAGGTCCAACTGCCGCAGACGGTGGTCCACCGTTAGCCGGGTCTTGGTGTAGCGATAGACGCAGATGGCAATGCGGCGATCGCCTGTGAAATCCATCGTAGAGCACTGATCGTATACGTCGGTCAGTTCCGTCAAGAGGGGTTTCGACAAGAAGACGCCCGCGCCTCCGAATCCAATCATCCCAAATGCCGCAATCTGCGGGATAGACTCTGACAATCCGCCAATATACATGGAGGTGGTGTGGTCGTATTCAGCGAGCGCATTCACCAGCCTGGGCATCGACAGGAAGAATGTGTCGTCGTCGATGATACAGCCCCATTGGGTTGAGTCCCGAGCGTTTTGTTTTAAAAGAGGGATAAGCGCGAAGTATCGGTTGAGGTAGTTATCGTCCGACTCTGTGATGTAGAGGTTGATCCCAAGACCGTCGGCCTTGGCCTTGACATCTCGGATTCCGTTTTCCGACTGATCCGGTTCGATCAGTGCGAAGATGCGAGTGCGCGAGTATCCAGCCCAGTGAGCGAATGCATCCAGGGACTCATTCAGTCTCTCGACACTGGTTGCGACTCCGAAATCGATGTGTGACGCGTCCGCCAATTTCGGCGGCTGGGGGACGCGCAAGGACACCGGGGCGGGAATTGAGCAGCCGTCCACCGCTCCCTCAGTGCCCTTTGGCACTTGCAAGAACGGCTCGTCAAGCCATTGCGTGTAGGGCACTGGCTCGTCCGTCATATCGAGTACGATTTCGCGACGGGTATATTGGGCGACTCTGAGAACTTTCAGGGCTGCCAATTTATCGTGATCGAGATCGCACGGGACATCGGGGCTGACGGTGATGGTCATGTTGACAGCTGTCTCCAGCGGCAGTTTCACTGGGTCGACTGAGGGCCATAGTACAACGACAAATCCTATCACAAACAAGAAGGCGACTCCAAACCGTAGCACCTTTTTCCAGGCCCATGATACCCCTGGAACCGACCCATCCCGCGCGTTGAATATCATATTTTGTGTGAGATTGTGTCGGGTTCTACCGCATTGCGGATCCAAAAATTTGGTCTAGGACACAATCAAGGGCCAGTCGCAGGCTGAAAGTGAGTATAAAGATGCCCAGGTGGTTTGGAGGGGATTGGAGAATAAGAAGAAGAGGAAGAAGAAGAAAGTGAAAAAGAGGTGGAAGACAGGGTCAAGGGACGATCATGGTTCCATGGGATGAAAATGGGCAAGGCCCATTCTCTAAGGGGTCTGAGAGACGATCAATGACGTTCCAAGTCCCATTTGGCGGATGTCACGTGCCCCTCGTATATAGTGTAAGTTTCGGTTTGGTCCCACTGTACCTACATACATATGTAGGTACTAAGGTATAACTTGCCATTGGCAATAATGTCCAGGTACGAGACATAGGGACATGGTTCCAATGACAGTTCCTTTCATCCAAAATGATGATTTCATTACTCCCAAAGCAGTGTCCAAAGTACTCCGTCTTGCCGACGGATTACAACCCTGCCCGTGCCAAGACCTCCTAAGCAATGGCTCCGTCCTCTCACTCGTCGCTGATCGCTCCGGCCCCCACATCCGCGCGTCGTCTAATTGCCCTCTGCTACTCCCACTTTAGCAGCCAAGACACTACTCCGTACTCGCTCTAGATAAGTGGTACGGAGTACGACAGATTAATATCTGGACACCATTATCCTACTCGATAACAACTGTCTAATGTGAGCATTTAGGGTCCAGCTCGATTCACTCATTCCCACTACGCTATCGCTCAGCCCCACTGTCTTGATTGCAGATCTTTGGGTGATATTCAAGTCTCTTATGGAGTATGGAGTACACTTTTACTCGTGACAATATATTGAGGTCGAGTTGTTCCAGCCCCCCAATGCCAATGTCGGGGCTTACTCCGTGCTCCGAACTGGAAACCCACTTGCATAAATGATAAGACAGCCTAGATCTGCCTTGCGCATTATTTGTGTGGATAATCCTCGTTCCTCTCCGGGTTCCATCGTTCTCCGCACTATGTTCCCCAAGATGGCTGGCCGATAACTAACGTAGAGACATTTCACTTTAATCAGCTTGAATCTTACGAGTCCACTAGACAGTCTCCTTCCAACGTCGCTATTCCTAGGCCTTTTCTTTCCGTGAAATGGGATTTTTCCTGTAAGTAGTGTGAACGTCGTCAAGTTGAATGTACAGCAAAAGGGCACCGTCAAGTCAACACACATGCATCGATGGGGAATGTTAAGCATGGACTGCCGTGACTGATCCGTTTCTCTCGTCTGTGGTTTCAACGTCACATAATGCAGCAAGGGTATTCGACACGCCTACATGTTAATGCAATTATAGATTCCCCCATATCACGGCATGAAGAAGAATAGGTGCATTAAATCTGCACATGAGCGCTACACTGAGCATGTGCACTCCTTATAGCTTGAAACCCGCTCCTTGCCGACACGGAAAGCCACTGCGCCAGCTTACAACACTAAAGACAATACCCACATAATCCCTGTGAATTCGCAAATTAGTACTTTTAACTACGAGTCATACTAGGTAGCACGCCCGTCAGAGCGCACTGTGTGTTCTATATCAAATGATGATCAATCAGGTTCAGTATTGCGCCCATTAAACCATGCATGCCAAGCACTTAGGTTGGGGGCCAAACGACGATCATAATTGTCCTCTGTCGAGACTCCTGGCACTCACTCCGCTACAAGTTGTTGAATGATATTTTCTGCATTCTTCCCACTATACTGCAGAACCGTTCTTCAGAATGGCCCCCGATGCCACGGAATATCTCTTCTATTGGCTGCTCGCCACAGCAACCATAGCGCATGCAGGTGGTATTCCTTGGACAATGCCATGGTCTGATCAAAGCTACGGCCCAGATGGCCCGTGGCACGCTGTGTCGATTGATTTGGGATCCAACAAGCAGTCAATTGATCTCTACCCCGGCGACCGATGGGCTAGTGTCATTCTGGTCGATACCGTCTGCTCTGACAACTCAACTCCCTGTTATGCAAGTCGAGCTGGTCTCTTCGACCTCAACGCATCAACATCTGCCGTCACCTTAAACACACCGACCGACCCGAATGATCTAAAATGGCTCTCTGATCAGAAAAGTTCCGGCGTGAATAATTGGGGTGGTACCGGATATGTCAAAGAAGGGGTTCTCGCCGATACGATCACGCTGCAAAATGGACATAGTGTGCCAAACGTCTCTATGGCAACGATTTACGAAGCCTACCAAGAGTACCCAAATGGAAAAAAATACCCGGTTTCTGTGGGGACCTTGTCGTTGGGAGGTACAAAGCCTACCCACGTGGTGGATGGGAGTAGGTTCAATTTGCTATCCGCTTGGGAGCATTGGAACGATTCTTCGTCTGACCGTATTCCATCATACTCATGGGGGATGCACATTGGATCTGTGGAACCTGACATTCCGGGCTCGTTGGTCCTTGGCGGGTACGATCAAAGCCGAGTGCTGGACCAAGTAAGCTCTCAGCAGGTTGATGATACGAGACATCTCGGCAATCTCAAGATTTCTCTCGAAGACATCGGGATAGGCGTTGCCACTGGGGACTCACCGTTTGACTTCGAGAATAAATCAGGGCTGTTCAAATGGGGAAATAGCATCAGCAGCAGGGCGAAAAGTGTGGAGATCGATGCTACACTTCCATACCTTTATCTTCCTAAGGAAACATGCGATACCGTGGCAGCTGAGCTCCCGGTTACATTTAACGAAGATCTGGGTCTATATTTCTGGAACACAGACGACAAAAGCTCCGAGAAAATAACATCCTCCCCGGCATACATGTCCTTCACATTCGAGAAGGATGCGACAAACACTCAAAATATCACCATAAAAGTTCCTTTTCAACTTCTGAATCTCACACTTCAAGAACCACTGGTGGAACACAACACAACTTACTTCCCATGTTATCCCTCTGACTCTTTCATCCTCGGCAGAGCTTTCCTTCAGGCAGCCTTTATTGCCACAAACTGGCAAGAAGGCATTGGGAGCGGCTACTGGTTTTTGGCACAAGCACCTGGGCCGGCGATTGGATCAGGTGCTCAGCAGAGCATTGGGATTAGTGACATCTCGATCAAGCCTTCAGCCAATTCGTGGGAAGACAGCTGGAATGGGTATTGGGAACCTCTTTCATCGAAGAACTCCAACTCCAGTCTCCCAACTGAGGCGAAGGCCGAAACTGGCCCCTCCAACTCCAGTCTCTCAACTGGAGCAAAGATTGGCATTGGCATTGGATGTGCGGTTGGTGGCTTGGTATTGATTGGGATAATTGCCTACATAATCATATCCCGTCGAAGGCGAACAAATTCGTACACAGAGACCAAAGATGAACATAGCCATGCACCGATTCCTGCCGATCAGGCGAATCCATTTTCAGCGACCGAGTTGTATACTCGTTATACAAGTGAGCTGCAATCAGACAAGGGCATTCAGGAAGTACCAGGGTCTACTACGATACGTCACGAACTTTCGTGATAGCCGTAAAGAGCCCCATCAGCTCCCCGCTTGGACCTGTTATATATTTTGTTCCATAGCAACATATTCTCCGCCCAGTTATATAAATACATATGGCACGATGGCTCGGTATAATTTCAGCGCTTTTTGAACAAAAGGAACATAGATGGAAAGCAGAGTGGTCCGTATAAGTCCTCTCGCTAGGAAAAAGATGTTTGTCAGTTCAAATGACCTCAAATTCAAACGTTCAAGGGAATTTATGGATCTTACCAAATCGCCGGTTTCGAACCAATTTCGACCCTGGCGATCTTGGTGCTAAATATGGACCAAGCAATTAGAGCAGCAATGAGACTTGATCAGCGGTTCTATACTCACATGGCTGCCATCGGTATACTGTTCAGGGTCGATCGGGTAGCCCAGCCATCTCCGATAGAAGTTCCCCGCAGTTTGTGATTTAAGCATGTACGATAACCGATACAGTATATGATCCAATCGGTGATCCAAGTTCCAGATGCTATCAGTTCCACCATTGATATTATCAGGTTCACCTGTGTTCAAAATTCGTCCAAGCTCCTTCGATGTCCATTTCCCATCGACATAAAGAGCATGGGGCACGTGGACGGCTTTGAGCCCATGCCAGAGAGCAAGCGAGGGAGCTGTCATCTCAGAAACAATGCCCATTCCTCGTTGAATTTGCACAACGTGCATTTCGTGCAATAAGCTCCTTGATATGCGCCCTATGGCCACATGGGATGCTCGTCGTGGAACATCTTCTGGGAGTTCCCATAGCATATCTCTGAATAGCCACTTCGTATCAATAGGATTAAAGATTGGTAAAAAAGTGATGAGATCTGCTTCTTCGCCAACGCCCCATTCATACTTATCATCTTCCGGGAAAGCGACAGGAGGCTTAGGGCCTATTGGGGTTATCTGAGGGATGCTTCTAGGTCCCCAAACACTCTTTCGGTTCTCCATAGCGGACTCAATCTTCTTGAGGAAATTCTTCCAAATTCCATGTTCCCCTGGAATATAGAAGTATGCGTTGCGCTCCCAAAGATACTTCCGCGGCTGGGCTTTTGCAAACTCCGCGGACTTTTCGAGAAAATGGTAGGAATGACCGGTGAATCTGGAATTCATCTCCAATTGCCAGTAATAGTCAAAATTGGAGAAAATTTGAGAAAATATCTGAACCGGTTGCCAGTACTGATAATATGTCCTGAAGATTGTTAGGAGGCCTGCCGTAGTTCAATGGCCGTGGAATTGGAAAGGAACTATACCGATGTTCGTCGATCTTAGGATACCACGACTCCAACGTCTTGTCGTTGAAAAGAATGGTCATGTCCATGAATTCGCGTGGGACAAACTCGGCTTTAATATTATCCATATCCTGGATATCACCTGTGTATATGGGGATGGTCTCGTCTTTGACATGACACAGGATAAAGACCTCATACTCCGCACCGGAGTGTAACGACAGCTCCATGACAAGAGAGCGGACATTTTGCTTCAGGTCTTCGGTCCATGCCATGCCATGCCAGGCACGTAGGACAACGGCCGATCTTGTTTTGTACTGCGGCAAGCTCCGCGGCAGAGAGGCTGGTCGATCGCGAGGGGGCATGCGTGCAAAATAACGAGAGCGGACTGGCAGGGTGAGCTGGATCGAGCGTGAATCGGCTTTGCTTGGCGAATATCTTTCGACGTTCCTCTCAAAACATTGTGATTGAAGCGATCCCCAGTTGGTCTCGTCCAAATTGACTTCAGAGGCAGAGGAAGCATGGCTGGTATTACTCTCGTACCCATACACACCCAATCGAGAAGAGCGATCGGTACAGACATTTCCGTCGACACCTGTCGCCAAATATGACCCCAGCAAGGCTGAAGGGAAGTCTATTGACTTGTTAGAGATGTTTTGTGTTTCCCAGTGAACTAAATCTCACTTTTTTGGATACCTGGGTAAACAGATATCATGTCTTGGGCACTTCTGCGGCTCAGAGTCTTTCCTCGCGGGCCTTCACACGCGCGAAAACTCCCTACAAATTCTTTGCGCCATTCACGACTATTGTATTTTGGATAGGGATCGTAAATTATTGGGATCGGGGGGTAATTATCATCCTCACGTGTTACTGTCAAGGTTCCACCACGATAGAATTCGTCCTCCCTATAGATTATGGATTAGCAAGGAATATAAAAAAGAGATTGAGAAACACCCAGCGATTATACGGGAGAAAATATGAAATAGAATCAGTGGACGACATACCGAACATCACGTAATGTTCCAAGCCCGGTCGGCTCATGGGCAAATGGTGCTCTATCATCTCGTGGCCTCACTTCCCGCGAGATCTTACTGACTATATCTCCTGGGCGGATAACAATAGACCTAGAGGGCCTTGTATTAGGTCTTGAATCGGAGGAGATTTGCAGCAGATAGTCTTGCCTATTTAAAACTCTGCTGAGGATGAACAATGATATTACAGCGAACAGTGCTAAATAGCATGCTCGACTGTAACGGCGAAACGACTGTGCCGGATGTTGTGCTCGTGATTTGGCTGTTAAAAGCATTGAAACAAAAGATAAAGGTAAAATGAGCAAATGAGCGAATAAGGCAGGATTTTGCTGCACATGTATATTCTAAGCACCAACGGGAATGTGGGGACGTGCCATAGTCCTGATTATTAGCCTGGGCTTGGCCATGGGAGGTTCTATACGGCTCTATACCCGTGGACTCCTAACGGGACATCGACCTGGGCAGACGTTGGCGGAGAGTACGTGGGTCGTGCACGGCCCATTTACCGAAATAGGAAGTACCTACAACATCAATACTCCTCCATATGGAGATTCTCCTGCGAGGGAAATAGGGCCGAGATAGATTGTCACCAAAGTTTACTTTTAGTAGAACTGGAGTTACAATCCCTGGAGGTTCATCTACATCTACATACATGTAGGTAGGTACCTATCATGGCAATTGCCTAGTTAGGTAAATCCTCTCTAGTACGTTTCAGGCTCTTCCAACGGGCCGCACGGAATTCAAGCTCATCGGCCCAAGCTGTTGTACTGTTGGCCTCCGTTTTATACGTACTTTCACTAGAAACACGAATGATGATATGAATGTACCTCCATATCCAAGGCTATATTGTACAGGCTAAGCACTGTGTAGTATGTATATTACTAGGAGCCGGGGATACTAGCCCTGGAGGGTGCCGAGAGGTTTCGCCATATAGAAGGTAGGCTCCGATCTATTAGGTTTCGGCACTTCTAACCTGGGTAGATGTGCTGGCTGATCGTCCAGAACACATGATCGAGCTCAAAATGTGATGACTACAAACCTCTACCTACAACATACATGGAGGTATATGGGAAATAGATTGTATCAATATCAAGTCCGCCATCCCATGTTGGGGGGTTCTGTCATAATCCCACAATAGTAAAGCCTCAGCAGGTGTATGCACTACGTTTTTTCGATGGGGTTGGTATAATTTCCTAGATACTCGCAAGCAACATGTGGGATGGACTAATGAGAGGGCCGATGGGAATTGAACACGACGATGGGACGGAGGCATGGACATAGTGAAAAAAAACTTTCTTGTCCTTCCAATCTTGACCAGAGTGAAGTGCGTCTGGCTATACATAGTTCAACCCGATAGGTACATACGAGCATATTGAGAGAAAGCGCGCTGGCAATACCCGTTGGTCTTCTGAGTGAGTGTGCTTTGTAGCAGTCCAGCTGCGGAGTCTCCCCCGGTGTTTTCCCTCGTACATTTGAAGTACTCCAAGCCCACTCAACTATTATATATATCGAGTTTACAGTACAAGGGTTGGCTTAAATGTTGGTTTAAATGCAGTCCCCCCTTAGCGCACACTCTATAAACTCCAGAATTTCGAGATTTGTGGCCCGTTATTCGTGAATTTGTTGATGCCGAACTAGATAATAGGACATGACACGTGAGCTACGGCGGGGCACATGGCGTTAAGCGCAGAACCCCCCGATGGGGAAAAGACCAGTTCCGCACATTGCTTGATATCAGTTGATCTGGGGAAATCGGCCACTGTGTTCTTTCTATAAATCCTACGATTTTATTTATTACCTGATATTGAAGTTACCGTCTTCTTCACCCCCTAATACCCTCCCGAATTCTTGAGCGACCAACCCCCGCTATGGTTGCGCAATCGCTTGCCTCGCTATTGCAGCGGGCGTCGATCGATGACCACGAGGAAGTCCTCCAGTCATGCAATGCAGTCCTCGCCAAATCCAAATCCGATCTGCAAGCGCAACATATGAAAGTTGTTGCTCTATTGAAACTCGACCGTTACGAAGAAGCCCTCAAGACATTCCAGGCCGGAGGCGATGCGCTTAAGCAGAGTGCAGGCCTGGAATACGCCTATGCATCATACAAATGCGGGAAGCTTGAAGAAGCTGCAGAAGCCTTGACTCGCACAGCTTCTGGACGTGGTGCTAGTCACCTCGAGGCACAAGTGGTATGCTGCCCTGTTATTTTGTTGATTGCGGACCAACATTGATTGATTTACCTTAACAGCGCTATCGCGCCGAGCACTTCCAACGGGCAGCCGAGCTTTATGAACAACTGTCGAAAGATACGACATCTTTCGGCTACGAGATCAATGACCTGAACATCAATTCGTGGGCTACTGATGCGCAGCTTCAATGGAAAGGAGAGGCGGAATTCGTGCGCCACGACCGATTGTCGAGGGAGGATTTGGAGTCTTTCGAAACAACCTACAACGCAGCTTGCTTGAACATAGCAAAGGGGGCATTTAAGCAGAGCGAGGTCTTGCTCAACCGAGCTCAAAGTCAGCATATTGCCATATTGCCCAAGCCTAGGATTCAGACTGACGTTTTGTATAGATATCTGCCGGACGTCGGAGGACCTTTCACCCGAAGATAAGGCCGCAGAGCTACTGCCAATCGCGGTGCAGCAGCTTTATGTCCTGATTCAACTTGGAAAGTTGGAAGAAGCCGAGGCGGTTCTCAAAGATATCTCCGTGGAAAAGTACATTGAATCATACCAGCTCGAAAATTATTACTTACATATCTTTCTAGCATCACCGAGTTATCAACCAAGAAGATTGCCCGCAACAACATTGTCCTCGCTCGTCCGACTGCCGTCAATCCCTACATCCTATACAAGGCCCTCCACGACACTCCAGATGCCACCAATAACGATCGGCTATTTGAATTCCAGGACCGTGATCTGATCGGAAACTCGCACGCAGCAGACCTCCTTGTCCAAAAATACGATGGCATAATCCGATCCACAACTAAGGCACGATCAAAATGCCCAAGCCCATCCACTGACGCTATCCCCAACCTTCTCTCTGTATACAATGCCGCAGCACACGCTCAAGGCGAAACCGGCCCTAAAGCGCTTCACAAGATCGCCCCATTGCTGGAGCGACGGCCCACAGACCTTGGTCTTCTTCTGACAGTGGTACAGCTCTATGTCAGCAGCGGCAACACCACCTCTGCTATCACAGCCATGGAGCGAAGCCTCCACAGCCTGGAGGGGACAAATGAGTCCGTCCGGTTCAACCCAGGCCTCCTCAGTGTCCTTGTCTCTCTGTACCAGCTTGAAGGTCGCACAGTCCAGATCCGTACCACCCTCGCACAAGCCGCCTCCTACTGGCGCACGAAGCCCGAGCCCCCCGCGTCCCTCCTCCGCGCAGCAGCCGCCTCCCTCTTGCACTCTGATGAACGCAATGACCTCGCCACGGCGGGTGATTTATTCCGTGCTCTGCACAAACAAGACCCCAATGATCGCGTTGCCACCGCTGGCTACGTCGCCTCACAAGCAACCTTGGACTATGCGCAGATTGAGTCCGAACTGGACCGCCTGCCAGCAGTTAGCGACTTGATTGCCGACATCGACGTCTCAGCTCTGGAATCCGCTGGAATCTCTCCCTCCGCCTCCTCGGTTGCCGCGGCCGCTGCCGCCATCGCTGGTGCCCGCAAGCGCACCGCAGCTAGCGCTGACGACCGCGCCAACAAGCGCGTCCGCAAGTCCCGTCTGCCCAAGGACTTCGACCCTGCCAAGAAGCCAGACCCCGAGCGCTGGCTGCCTGTGCGTGATCGCTCTTCTTACAGGCCCAAGGGCAAGAAGGGTAAGCAGCGTGCCGCGGCACTCACACAGGGTGGTCCTGTCAATGAGAAGTCGGAAGAGTCTCCCGCTCAGCAGCTGCAAAGCCTGCCGGTGGCGGTGGCGGCTCCAATGCTAAGAAGAATAAGAAGAAGGGCAAGCGGTAGTGTAATTTCGGACAGATAGAGATCATAGCTGAATGCTACCTACTTATGATACATAGAACACAGGTATGTACCTCATATTTCATATTGAACGGTACATCAAACCGAGACGGGCAGTGAAATAAATCTCCATCAGCTGTCTTTAACTCCGAAGAATGTGATTATCGCTATAACCGGATGTAAACAACCCCCGTAGAACTAAACCAGCTCAGATGGCATCACACAAACATCGGGCTGATGGTCGGGCAAAACTACGCCGTACATATGATAATTTACACAGCTAAAAATGCTAACCAAGAGGCACCTTAGTCAAAATAGTACAGTGCAAATAGTAAAAAGGTGGATTTTTGGGGTGTGCAAATAATATTTCTCTAGATACAAGGGCCGGTTAGCACCTCCATGCGAAAACCCCGGATACCCCCTTCTTCTACCTCATTTCATACCGCCTGCTGAATAACTAACGCTCAACCCAAAGGGGTCCGAATGGTACCGCACTGTCGGTTGTAGTGGTCAAAGATCATAAGCAGCAATCGCAGATCCATGACGGGGTCCTGAGCAGTCGTCTTCGCCGGCGAACCCCCACTAACTAGATACGAATGCAGAGCAATGAATTCACGCTCATACGCCTCGTCACAGGTACTAACCGTCTCCGTCCGGTTTACGCGAGGACGGGGAACAGCATTCTCAGTCTCGTTGATCTGGTTGTCATTGACATTGTCCATCTCTGCCGTCTCATCTGCTTCCTCAACAATAACCCGCACATAGGTACCAGTACTGATCTTCTCACCAGGACGCGGGAAGTCATACTCCACAGTGAGAGTCTTGTGCGCGCCATAGACAGTCAAATGTGCATCACAGCGAGGCAAGGCATCAATGCCAGCCTCCCAGAGAAGCGTAAACGGATGACCATCATTCTCAGCGGAATTCGTGTAGTGGAAAATGGCAGAGTAGAACGGGTCCGTGATGGCGACATTAGAAACAGCATCCGGGAGGCCCAACGATTCGCGCATCACCGATAGATCGTGACAACCCAACATGCCGAGGTACCGGCAGAAAGCGATTCTGTCCTGCGTGAGATCTTCCTCAGACCCGAAGACGTCTTGCAGTAGCGCGCGGAACTGCTCTGGGTTATTGTGTTTTTTCATTTGCGTGATGTCATTCGAAGCCGACGCGACGATGTTATTCATTGGTCCGGCGATGTGTCGGCAGCGCGCGTAGTACACGCGGCCTATGGTGGCGAGTTCTTTCTTGAAGACTTCTGTGAAGCAGGGCGCATAGCGACGCGCACATCCGATAAATACCTTTGGGCCGTCTGTTTCGTTGACGCCGTCGAGGGATCGCGCGGCTTTGCCCGTTGTGATTGCTTTGCGGATGCGGCGCAGGCTTGAGATGCTCATTGTGAGGGGGACCTCGACCATTACATCTTTGCCGGCTTCGAGGGCTATCACGGTGTATTGTTCATGGTACTCTATTGGGAGGAGGTTGAGGATGACGTCCACTTCTTTATGGCGTAGGACATCTTCGACGACTGTTGTGCTGTGGGTTATGCCGAAGCGGGATTGGCATTGGGTTGCGATTTCTGTGTTGGGATCATAGATGGCTGTGAGGGTGTAGTGAGTTTTCAGGGATTGGAGTACCGGGAGGTAGGTAGCTTGGACGGCGTTTGTGGCGCCTAGGACACCTAGCCGGAGGACAGGTGTAGACATGTTGGCGGAAGGGTAGGAGGCTGCAGATCAGGCCGGTAGAGATGGAGGGAAGGTGAGAGATGGTCGGCCTTTTTGTAGATCGGCTGAGCTGAATGACTGAGAAGAGGATGGTATCTCAGGTAGCTCAGGGATTAAGGGTGGGATGGTGAAAGTGAGTAAAGTAAAAATTAGAGTACGAGTGCATCGTTGACACGACCTTGGAAGAAGCAGACGAAGAAAATAAAGCGATTTCCCTTCCAGGGCACATCCCTGGATACCAGCTCTGTGACATCATCCAGTCCATAGCTACATTCCCTTCGATTTAAGATCGGACTTAATATAGATCACCTGTCGATCACCTGTCGATCTCATGTATATCCATGGATATGATTTAGGCTATGTGTCGGACAGATATCAGCTAGAAATGAAAAACATAGCAAATAGTAAGAAACGGTCATACTCATGACGTATAGACTCATCTACTTCCAAGAATCGCAGATGGTCATGTCTGTAGGCCGTTTTGAGCGATCCTTACGAATATTTTATGGACGTAAGAACAAGCTTTTAGGGCTATAGGATAGCTCTATCTATATTTACTAGGCAACGATATAGGCTTGATTTGAAAAGGCACAAATGAAAGCAAAACAAAATTCTGAACTCTCTATATGTTTGTCTGTGGGGGTGGTCAAGTCGAAGTGCGGGCGTTGACGACCAATGCCTCGCCATACAAACTCACATCATAGCCATGTTCTTCCAAGTATGCTTTGAACTTGGCATCTTCTGTTTCTAGCTCCCGAGACATATCTGGGATGAGGAACCAGGCAACCAAACCACCAACCACCGTGAAGGCCGCGCCGATTAGGAAAACTGCTTGTTGACCTTTCTCGGTGGTATCGAAGGAGTTTTGGATTGGGGTGAATACTTCTGTCCCGATCGATGCCCCGGCCTTGCCAACTGCGGCTGCAAATCCGAGGAAATGACCACGGAGAGGTGTTGGGAACGATTCTGAAGCACAGAGGAACGTCGAGACCCCAGGGCCCATCTCTCCGAGTGCTTGAAAAATGCCGTACATGATGATAAAAAGCGGGAAAACACTCTGGATTGGTCGGAGCGCAGCCCCCAGAATAAATCCCCATATAGCCCAGATCACGAAACCTAAGGTCATGGTTTGTTTGCGGCCGATTCGATCCATCAGGATGCCACCAAGCAAGCACCCTGGAAGATAAAAACAGTTGATAACAGTCTGGAAATTCCACTGTCAGTTTAACCAGCTAGAATCTGGTGGGATGGAAACCTACCCCATATCCAATATTCTGAACCGTGGTGTTGTCGGGGTTCAGCTGCTCAATTATGGTGGACGAGAACAGACCAAATGGATACGTGACAAAGTCGTAGCAGAACCAAGCCAAGGCTACAAACATCAGCGTTAGCCAAAGGCACTACACAATTCAATCAAGCTAATCGACTCACATGTTCCAAGCATGGGTTTCCAGTAGCGGCGTAATACTAACCCGTAGGGATATTGAGACTTTATGGCATGCTTTTGGTATTGAGTAGAGTTGACCATCCGAACGCGGAAGAAACAGATTGACAGTGGCAACTGGTCCTAGTGTCAGAATAGTGAAATCTTAGATTTGTGAGGCAAGAGACTTACCACAATACCCAGACCGAATGTAATGCGCCAGACTCCTTCAGAGTTTTGTTGGCTGTAACACGCAAGAACAATAAGGGCAACTAAGCCGGCTCCAACAAATCCCTATCGCAGAGTTAGCAAGAACCTCGTCGGCGTCGTGACAGTACTGACTAGATCGATAGCAAAATCGGTGGTTAGTGCGACCAAGAAACCACGTCGCTTTCGAAGGTGGACTGTCTCATCGGCGGCCTCAGTGGCACTTGTAGCACAGACAGGATATTCTCCTCCAGCACCAAACCCTGCAATACCCCTTGCAACGATCATCATCCAGAACATTCTTATTGTGGTGTTAATGATGGCTTTCAATCAGAAAGCTTGCAGTGATTGAATAAGCATACCCTAGCTGCGATTTTCCATGAGAGGCAGTTGCCAACACCACCCCGATAATAAGAAACGCCGTCGCGGCAACAATACCAGTCCGACGACCAATGCGGTCAATCAGAACACCAAAGAAAAGCATGCCAAATATCTCGCCGATGAGATATGAGTTTGACAGGCGCGACTTTATAGTTGAAGACATTCCATCCATGTAGCTTGATTCATTAGTATATTTAACCAGAATCGTTCCGGAAAAGGGCTACTCACAGAACTGAGAATAAAGGCTCCATATAGCCAACTACCACACAGTTAGTACCGGGGAGGAAACAAGAGATTCGGAGACACAGATCTCACGTACTGATTTGAGCGTTGTATCCATCACTGAACAAGGCCAACCCGGCAATCACTACATTGAGTACACCCGAGCGTTTCTTCTCGGGTTTCCGTTGCTCGATATCCCAGTCAGTTTGCGAGACTTGGTCTTTGGGATCTTCCATCTTCATGGTAGAGTCATTGGGAGATGTAGCCATATTGACAACGATACTAAAATATCAATGGGGATTCCCAATGGGAATATATTGATATCTATAGAAGCCATCTTTGATGGCTCTAATGAACATATCCTTCTAAAAGTAACCAATGGGAGCGTGTAATAGACGCACGATAGGCTCGGTGGGAAGTGCGAGATAAATGTATACCTGTAGACCGTACTAAGTAGAGGTCAAAGCTCCCCGGCTTTTTTAGGCCCTGCAAAGCTCCATGGTGTACGGCGGTCCACCGATTTTTCCCGGTAGAAGATTAACCAGCTACCATTAAAAGACCCCAGGGAAGACTTTGGAAAATACCGACAGAAAGATGATAATAAAGTAGTTTTTGTACATACCTTTTATTAAGTCCTTACCCACCCGCATTATCACCCCACATGTTAAAATACATATAGTAGTAGCGTTAGACTTTCTCTACAAAATGTAAGAGCGATTTAGATATTATAGGTTGGAGTAGAGCATATATCGAGTTCATAAAAGTATCTAAAATGGAGAAATGATCTTATTTTTAGAGCGTGTACATAGGTTGGCGTGATGGGCCCCAAAACCTGCCGTACAGTGTAGTTCCATGACTTTGACAGTTTCCTCACAGGTACATTGACAGACTCCACATAGTCCTGATCATTAAACCTATCGGAGCTTATCTTTCATCCATGTGATTGGGCATGTTACATGGTTCGATATCTTGTCTCGTTCAAAAAATACTTATTTCGGTGCGAAGGGCGATACCGTCAAGCTTTCATTGCAGAGACCGAATTCTCGATCTACAAAATGCGAGCTCCTGAGCCCACAATGTTTGACGAATGTACTTTATTCTAGATTTCGCATTAAATCTACCAGAAAAGCATGGACAATTTCCATTACCCGCTCTGTGCCGAGCAGCTTCAGAGTTTCCACGAGCGGGGATACCTGCTTGTTCGTGGTTTTTTTACTTCTAAGGAATCGGACCTGTTGCGGGAATGGGCGCAAGAAGTCCACGATCTTCCATGTACCCCTGAAGTGCCCTGGATGCCTTATCAAGAGGTGAATACGGAAGGCAAACGGGTGCTGTGTCGCACTGAAAACTTTGCCAACTCCCATGCCGGATTTGATAGTTTCCTCCGAGGGCGGCGTGCGATAAGTGTTCTGCAGCAGCTCGCGGGAGAGGAGATGCTTCTTTTCAAAGAAAAGATCAACTACAAGTTGGCAGGAAGTGGTAAGTAGGGTCCTCTTTATAGCATTGACTCGATCGCTCACTTGTCTGATAGGTGGGTTCGATCCTCATATTGATGCCAATGCCTACACCCATGTTAAAAACATCAAACATTTGACTATTCTTGCGGCAGTCGATGGAATGAATGCAGACAATGGTGGCCTGGAGGTGGTGGATGGTAGCCATCGCATGGATATTCCTCTCGGCAGCGATCGCTGCATTGCATCGGATTGGGTTGAAAGCAACGTATGGACACCAGCTGAGCTTGCCTCGGGTATGCAACTTGAAAATCCCCCGATACTTTTATCACAGATCCATTAACAAGAGTAGGTGATATCTTGATTTTTGGCTCATACCTGGCCCATCGCAGTGGCGCCAATTTTAGCTCAAAGGACCGCCGTGCGATCTATGCAACGTATAATTGTGCCGCCGAGGGCGATCTGCACGATCAGTACTATTTTGATCGTCAGAAGCTCTGGCCTGCAACACACATGCGGGAAAGCGGACAGTCATATGAGGAAGGTCGTGTGCGATATGCCTTTGGGTCCCCTATGTTAACTGTGGACTCTAAGGTCATCCCGGTCTGATCGGTGCGGGCAAGCCGTATGGTATACTGAGTAGCAAGTAAAAGGTTAATTCGATACGATCTTGTGATGTTGTCACAGTTATACTGATTAGTCAAAGCACAATAACTGGAAGGTATCTGCTATTGAAATAAATTGGTCTAGTTCGGCCTTCAAATCCGTGTGGACCACCGGCATGATCACCGAACAATTTAGTTTAGGTACCTTTAACTGGGCCAAAGATGTAACGAATAGGCTCTGGCGTATATAAATACTTCTTTCCATCTCACTTCTTTCTCCTCTCCTTTTTTGTATACCTGGATATCATTTCTCTCCAACGTTTCTCCTGTTCGACTCCAAAGGTAAATTGGATTATGAACCAGCAGTCAGCCAAAGAAAAAGCAGAGGCCTTGATCGGTGCCCTAGAAAAGTATGGCCAAGGTGACTACATTGGGGAATCGATTAGCCAGTTAGAACACTGTCTACAGGCGGCTCATCAGGCCCATAAAGCGGGTACGTATTGCCCTTGAGATCTCCCACAATTGCTAACATTATTCTAGATGCTCGTGATGAGTTGGTAATTGCGGCTTTATTGCACGACATTGGTCAAATCATTCCGCTAGAATCCACCAAGGAGACACGCATGAATCTTCGCGAAAGCACGGAAAATGTCGGCCGGGTCGGCCATGAAGCCATTGGCGCATCATATCTCCATTCTCTTGGATTCAGCGAGACAGTGTGTCGCTTGGTAAATAGTCATGTCGCTGCGAAGAGGTATGTGATCTTTTCTATCTTTTGCCAGCCCAGACTCACCTTTTAGGTACCTTACTGCTACTAATCAAGGATACTACGAATCTCTATCATCTGCCTCGCAGAAATCGCTGGCATTTCAGGGCGGGCCTTTCCGAGGTGCGGACCTTGGAATTTTCGAGGAAGATCCACTTCGAGACGACATGGTCTCACTTCGACTGTGGGATGATGCTGCTAAGTTGGAGGGAATTGAGGCTATCACTCCCCGCGCTGGGGTATACCTGGACATGATCATTGGGCATTTGCTCCGTAAACCTTGAGCGACCCGGTGTATTAGTGGAATTCCACTTTTGCATCTCTCCTTACATGTCCATTTCACTAGAAAGAGCAAATACATTGCGTTCTTTTCCCAAGTCCACGGGTCCAGCGCTGGAGGATCCATTCAGTGAGTAATCAACCGGTGCTGCCGGGTGTGAAAGTAGTAAGGATTCTAGGCGCCCTCATAAAGCGGTGCAGGAGAATCCCGGCCTAAAGTTCGATGTATATATTATTTATAGGGCTGCATACATATACAACTGGTGACTTCATTGAAGATACTTTAAGGTACTTTGATTGCTAGTGAATAAAAGCGGGGGCCTAAGAATCCCGAGGTACCTCACATAGAGCTCAGCCTCAGTTGGGCTTAAGAGGGGCTATCCACATCAGGCAACGTCATCTTAGAATTCTCTCGTGATGCTCCAAATTTCTCTGTCTTACTTCTTCGCCTCTTCCCCCCCCCCAGTTTAAATCATGGGTGTAAGTTTTCTAGATTCCTTCACAGTTCCCAAGAATCCCTCCATCTGACTCATCACCTTTAGTTTGCTCAGAAAATCGCCGCAGCTCAGAATAACCAGATGGCCAATAGTGGTTCATACGGAGGTGCACCTCCATCGGGGTATACTGGGGGTCCTCCTGCAGCATTGCAGGCCGGTGGATCGGTAAGTCATATGTCCATTACTGCGCCTGTTTTTGCTATCACAGTTCGACGTCATAAGAAAGAAAAAAAAAAACCTGCTAACATTTTCTCAGAGTCAACAGCAATACCAGGCTTATTCAGGATCCCCAGCCCCTCAGGGATCGGTAAGCCATATTTTTCCTTAACTTTTTTTTGTTTCCCCCCACTTCACTACCCCTCCACGGTCATCATTTCTCTGGAACAATGTCGGGACCTTACCAAGGATATCCTCCATACGGCGGCTCATCTCAACAGAATCCATCATCTCCCTATTCCAGGCCTCCCCCATCCACGCCATACCCCGCATCTCAGCCGCAGGGCTATGGCCGCCCCCCTCCACCCCCACCAGGTCAGCCCTATGCATCCGCTAGTTCGCCTTACCCGGGTCAGCAACCGGGACAGCCCTATGCTTCTCCTAGCTCGCCATATCCAGGACAGCATGCACAGTCGCCTTATCCTGGTCAACAGGCTTCCCCACAAGCGCACCCTGGACAACAGTATCCCGGACAACAGCAATACGGACACCAACCTTACCCTGGACAACAGCCGTCATATGTACACAATCCCCCTTGCCCTGTATCACTGCCTGTTTATGTGCTTCGTGTCTTATCTCACTCCGGATGCTTGTTGAATGCTTGTTGGTTGAACAAGAATGCTAACGGAAAATAGAACCAGACACCACCCTACCCTTCTCAGGGCGCTCCGTACCCCGGTGGCCAGGGCCGTCCTGGGCCCTCGCCTGGACCACCCAGTGGACCACCACCGGGCCAGTATGGTGCACCAAGCGGACCACCACCAGGCCAGTATAGTGCACCAAGCGGACCACCACCGGGCCAGTATGGCGCACCAAGCGGACCACCACCAGGCCAGTATGGCGCACCAAGCGGACCGCCACCAGGCCAATATGGCGCACCAAGTGGACCACCGCCAGGCCAATATGGCGCACCCGGTGGCGCCCCTCAGTCCGGAGCTCCCCGGCCACCCCGCAACAGGTTGCAGCTTACCACTCGCTTTTGAGTTCTACGATTGAAGAGAAGCGTATCGGAAGCTTCTACCCCAAAGAACGACTGGACCGGCTTGTTCAGACTCTTGCCGCCGAAGCACCGGGAAAGCTCAACAAGCTGATTCATGAATGGTCCGTGCCCATGGAGGTTGCGACCGATGTCATGAAGCTCTCACTGTTCGATGTGATTCTCTACGTTGATGACAGTGGATCAATCGAGTTCGAAGAGAAGGGACTCCGAAAGGATCAACTCAGACAGATTCTCGGTATTGTAGCTACTGCTGCATCGACCTTCGACCAGGACGGTATTTCTGTGCGGTTCATGAACTCCAGTGAAAAGGGCGATGGCATTCGCAGCACAGAGGATGTCGAACGCTTGGTGTCCCGAGTCCGTTTCTCGGGCTTGACCCCCCTGGGTACCAGCCTGAAGGCCAAGGTCATCGACCCGATGGTCGTTCAACCCGTTCGGGCCAACCGTCTCGAAAAGCCCGTGCTGGTGATCACCATCACTGACGGACAGCCTGCTGGTGAGCCTCACGATACCGTGGGTAATACCATTCGCTACGCAGTAGCAGAGACCTCTCAGACCCATTATGGCCCCGGCGCTGTATCCTTCCAGTTCTCGCAGGTGGGAACTGATCAGCGGGCTCGCGACTTCTTGGCTTCTCTGGACGAGGACCCTCATATTGGACACCTGATTGACTGTACCTCCAGTAAGTTCCACGTGACGTTCTTGGTGGATCTAGCTAACGTGCTCTAGACTTTGAGGTTGAGCAGGATGAGATGGCCCGTGCTAACCCACCCGTGCATCTCACTCGCGAGCTTTGGGTACGTCGTCTTTCACACCTCGCATAGTATCGAACTAACTGTCTATGTAGTGTGCTAAACTGATGCTCGGCGCTATCGATTCTTCTTACGACACCAAGGATGAGCGAGACAACCAGCGTCGGGGACCTCCACCTCAGTCCACAGGCCAGTACGGAGGAGGTTACGGCCAACCTCCCCAGGGCCAAGCTCAGCCTTATGGCGCGCCCCCTGGTGCCCCTCCAAACCACGGCTCCCAGTCTGGCTACCCACAGGGTCAGTACCAACAGTCTCAGCCTCCCTACCAAGGATCGCGGGGTGGATATGGTCAACAGCCACAGTATCCATCGCAGCCTGGCTCTGGCCAGTATGGACCACGTTATTGAGCATGACGTCATAGGTTCCGTTGATTATTTTTTTGCAGAGTTTCGAAGTGGTCTACTTTTACTCCACGAGTTTCCATCCCATAGTTCGAACGCAGGAATATCATTTTATGTTTCCAATTTTTTAAGGGATGCCTGGTTGACAGGTGCCAAGGCTACACTAAAAAAATCAGCCCACGAGTTCGGTTCAAGGGTGAAATCCGTGTAGACTAGACTTACACATAGTTAAAAGCCTCAAGAGAATAATACACATAGTTAAAAGCTACAAGAGAACAAAACGTCGAGTTTCACTGCAATCGGGGAAGGGCCAAGTCTCAGGGAATGTGAGACTGACCAATAACCAAGTAGATAGATCTGGATCCGGACCCATGTGTCGCCCCCAGAAACCTCTTCGGTTCTTAATTTAACCTGGGGCTGTGCCTGTAAGCGTGGATATTGTATGGTTGCGTACGCGTTGCCCAAACATTTGCCATGAACGGTTATCAGGGCCTTGGATGTTTTAGACGTTTGGGATTTCCCACTTGCCCACTCGACTCCAATTTTATTCGATCTCTGCCTATCAGATATCCATTATAGGTATCTCTATATCCTTTAATTGTAAGATATCGCCAGCTGGAACACTAGGCCGTTTTAGGTATCATATCCTCCAAACTTGGTCTTGGTCTTGGCTAGTCCTGGTCTCTCTGCGCTTTTAGTCTCTATCTTCTCTTGGCCTCTCTTTTTCTCTATAGGACACAATCTTTGCGCCCTTCATTTCTATCCTTGCGTCCGACGGGAGTACTTTCGTTTGTTCAACCCTCGCAACACCTTCACTTTACGACAGGGGAACTTGTCTCCCCCCGCTGCAAGAGCAGCAGAAGAATGACTGTTTAATCAGTTAAAATCGAATTTTTCGATCGACCCTGAGGGAGAAAACGCTAGCAGAGGAAGGATTTCAAAATATCGGAGGAAAAAAAAATCACCGAGATCGTCGGGATCTGTCCCGCGCACTCGTGCCAGGAATTCGACTGTCATGTCCCCCAACGACAACCCTACAGAACCTACAGAGGGCACTCAACCCGACCAGAACGATGTCCGACGCCCATCTCTTGTGTCCTCGCGAACCCTCTCCGACTCTGGGCGGCGGATCTCCTCCCAACATGTGCGCTTCTCAACCGATCTCGATCGCGAGTCGGCCGAGGAACAAAGACAGACAAACTGGGATGGACGCCCCAACTCCCGCGGCTTGACCATCGACACGGCGCTGGCGCCCCCGTCTGTTCGACCTGCCCCCTCACCCACCTCTCCCCTCTCGCCCCCCAATGCGACCCAAAAGGCGACCCTCTCCCCTATTTCCCCGACTCCTGAGTCCGCCGGTCGGTCTCGGTCGCGAAACCGTGGATACTCGCTTCGTCGCAGCATATTCAATAAGACCATCAACTCGACGGAACAGAATGATGTTGCCCTGGCTGAGCTGGGTGAGGTCAAGGAACCCTCTGAGGTGACTCCCATCTCGGCCCCGGCTGCTGAGACGCTCACTGCCGCCGATGAGAAACATGCTCTGAGTGTCTCACCGACGGTGACGCTCGACTCGACCCATAAAAATGATGCTTCCCCTTATGTCTCCTCTGATCCTTCGGAGAGATCTCTCAAGCAACAGTTCTCTGTGTCTGTGGCCCAGGATAAATGGCGCCAGAAAAAGGCGACTACCGCTGTGGCTGTCGCGCGTTTTGAGGCTGTTATGACGTCTATCCAGAAATTTATTCTGCGCATCAAGGATATCCCTCCTACTAAGGATGGACGTCACATTGACTTGAATCCGTCTATGGTAGGTTCTATGATTGATGAACGCACCGATAAACCTTATATCGGTAACTACATTCGTTCCAGTCGTTACAGCCTTTGGAGTTTCTTCCCCCGCCAATTCTTCGCCCAATTCACTAAAGTCGCCAACTTCTACTTCTTGGTCGTCGCCATCCTGCAGATGATCCCAGGCCTGAGTACAACCGGAACCTACACAACCATCGTTCCGCTTCTGATCTTCGTTGGTATCTCGATGGGCAAGGAAGGATTTGATGATTGGCGCCGGTATCGATTGGATAAGGAAGAGAACAATCGGGATGCTTGGGTGCTCCGCCCAGGCCACGGGACAATCCAGGATGGCGCCTCCATGATAAGCAACGCTCAAGATTGGGAGCGGATCAAGTGTGAGGAAATTCGTGTTGGCGATGTTATTAAACTTGAGCGCGACCAGCCGATTCCCGCTGATATTGCTCTCCTCCACGCCAACGGACCTAATGGTGTCGCGTACATTGAGACTATGGCTCTCGACGGTGAGACAAACTTGAAAAATAAGCAGCCTTGCCAGCCTGTGTCCAAGGTGTGCTCGACTGTGGAGGATATCAACAGCAACTCCTTGCACTTCGTCGTTGAGGATCCCAACTTGGATCTCTACAAGTTCGACGGTCACGTCAGTGTCAATGGCCAGGAGAGATTGCCTTTGACCAACAACGAGATCGTTTACCGTGGCAGTATCCTTCGCAACACCGACCGCGCTCTGGGTATGGTGATCTATACTGGTGAGGAGTGCAAGATCCGCATGAACGCCAACAAGAATCCGCGAATCAAGAGGCCCGCTCTCCAGGACAAGGTCAACCGCGTGGTTATGTTGATTGTGGTTTTGGTCGTTATCCTGGCTGTTTTCTGCACCGTGGCCTACAAGTTCTGGTCTCAGAATGTGGAGCAGCATTCTTGGTATCTCGAAGATGCTAGTGTTTCCTACGGTCCGATCTTCACTTCTTTCCTGATCATGTTCAACACCATGATTCCCATCTCCCTGTACGTGAGTATGGAAATCGTTAAAGTTGCCCAGATGCTGCTCTTAAACGATATCGATATGTACGACCCCGAAACCGACACCCCGCTCGAGGCGCGCACATCCACTATCAACGAGGAGCTCGGTCAGGTCAGCTATATTTTCTCCGACAAGACTGGTACCCTGACAAATAACTCCATGCGCTTCCGTAAGATGAGTGTGGCGGGAACCGCGTGGCTGCACGACGCGGATCTCCAGGAGGAGGCTGCCCGTCAAGGCGACCACACCAAGTTGATGCACAAGAAGCGGAGAGTAAAAGGGAAAAAGGCAATGGGCCGCAAGTCCAATGTGTCCGAGGCTCAGATGCCCCGTCCATCGAATGTTTCCGGGCCTCCTGATGCCCTCCGGCAGTCTGGTCGCTCGGCTACTACATACCGCACCGAAGATATGCTCGAATATATTCAGCGCAAGCCGTACACCATCTTTGCCCGAAAAGCGAAACTGTTCATTCTGTCCCTAGCCCTGTGTCATACTTGTATTCCCGAAGAAGACAAGAACGGAAACACCACTTTCCAGGCTGCCTCCCCCGACGAGTTAGCTCTTGTTCTTGCGGCCCAGGAACTCGGATATCTCGTCGTGGATCGCCAATCAAACACATTGACTATCCGCACCCAACAGAACGGACCGGACGAAGCGACCACCGACGAAGTCTACGAGATCATGGACGTGATCGAGTTCTCAAGCGCGCGAAAGCGCATGTCAGTTATTGTTCGCATGCCCGACCAGCGCATTTGCTTATTCTGTAAGGGTGCCGATACTACGCTGATGCGTCTCCTGAAGCAAGCCGATCTGGCACGCGAGAAGGCGGCCGAGATCGAGCGCCGCGCAAGCAGACGCAAGAATGCCGATGTGAACCAGGTCATCAATCGTAACAGCGAACACCACAGCCGGAAGAACAGCATGGTCCGGAGCAGTATGACCCGGCCTAGCTTCACCCATCGGCGCTCGTCGATTACTGGCCAACAGGGCTCGGCTCTTCGAGCCAGTATCGACGTTTGGCTGCGCGATCGGGAGACGGATGGTGGTATGCGGAACAGAGAAGCTGACAGCGAGTACTACAGCCCTCGGCCTTCGGCTCAGATGGGTAGACCCTCAGCTGCGATCTCGGACTCTGGAAGTTCTACGAATGGCGAAGATGATGAAGAGGATCTTGTGGAGGAGGCACTGGTTGTCAACGAGGCAGCTATTTTCGAGCGCTGCTTCCAACACCTGAATGACTTTGCCACTGACGGCCTGCGGACATTGTTGTACGGCCATCGGTTCTTGGATGAAGCGACCTACACGAACTGGAAAATTGCCTACCACGAGGCTTGCACTAGCCTCGTTGATCGACAGCAGAAAATCGAGGACGCCGGCGAGCAGATTGAGCAGCAGCTGGAGCTTACTGGTGCTACTGCTATTGAAGATAAACTGCAAAAGGGCGTGCCGGAGGCTATTGAAAAACTTCGACGGGCTAATATCAAGATGTGGATGTTGACTGGTGATAAGCGGGAGACTGCTATCAATGTCGGCCACTCGTGTCGTCTTGTCAAGGAGTACTCGACGCTGACTATCTTGGATCAAGAGAATGGCAACGTTGAGCAAACGATCGTGGATCTTATCGAGGAGATTATCCGTGGCCGCGTGGCACATTCTGTGGTTGTGGTTGATGGCCAGACGCTGTCCACGATCGAAGCGAATGAGGTGGTGCGTGAACGGTTCTTCCAACTGGCTGTCAAGGCAGACTCGGTCATTTGTTGCCGAGCGAGCCCGAAGCAAAAAGCCTTCTTGGTTAGATCAATCCGCAAGCAGCTCACCGACGCAATCACGCTCGCCATTGGAGACGGTGCCAACGATATCGCCATGATCCAGGAGGCCCATGTCGGTATCGGAATCACTGGAAAGGAGGGATTGCAGGCAGCACGTATCTCGGACTACTCGATCGGGCAGTTCCGCTTCCTTCTCAAGCTGCTTCTGGTGCACGGCCGATGGAACTACATGCGTGCTTGCAAGTACACACTCGGCACGTTCTGGAAAGAAATGTTGTTCTACCTGACTCAAGCGCTGTACCAGCGCTGGAACGGCTACACTGGCACCAGTTTGTACGAGCCGTGGAGTCTGAGTATGTTCAACACGCTGTTCACGTCGCTCGCTGTCATCTTCCTGGGTATCTTTACCAAAGACCTCTCAGCATCGACACTGCTAGCCGTACCGGAACTCTACACCAAGGGTCAAAGGCACGGCGGCTTCAATATCAAACTCTACCTGGGCTGGTCATTCATGGCGACTTGCGAAGCAGTCATAATTTTCTTCACGATGTGGAGTCTCTTCGGCCTCGCACGAGTCAATCCCAGCGACAACGACATCTTCTCCATGGGCCTACTCACCTTCTCCGCGTGTATCATCGTCATCAACGTCAAACTCCAGGCTCTGGAAGTCCACAATAAAACATACATGTCGCTCCTCGTTATAATAATTTCCGTCGGCGGCTGGTTCATGTGGGACCTTATCCTCGATCGGGAATATACAATGTCTTCCGGTAAAGGCATCTACTTCCTCCCCTCTAATTTCATCCATCACTCCGGCCACAACCTCCTCTTTTGGACCGTCCTCCTCCTCTCTATCTCAGCAGTCCTCCTCTTCGAATTCACAGTCTCAGCTCTCCGCGCCTTTTTCTTCCCAACAGACGTCGACCTCTTCCAAGAATACGAACAAGACCTCGACATCCGCAGGCGCTTCGAAGAAGCAGCTGCCTCCGAACTCCAGCAGGGCTGGGACCACGGCACCAAGAGATCAAGCTTCGAGATCGCCCGCGAAAACGCCGAACTCGCTGAGATTGAAGTCCGCGAACGCCAGGTCCGCGAGCTTCTCGCCCGCCCCCGCGTCATGGACTCCAAGCCTAATGCCAAGGAACTCGAGATCGATGGCTATACCAGCGCCAGCGCGACGGTTAGCCATAACAGCAGCGTGCCGAGTCGCGATGTGGTGAATGGTCTTGATGTAGAGATGGACCACGGTCGCCAGTCTGGCCTCCTCTGTCCCGAAGACGCTACGGGACGTCGTCGCTCCGTTGAGATCCAGGAGCTCTTCAGCAAGGGCTATGGTGCAGTGCGCAAGGGCCAACTCAAATGATTCAAGATTCAAGATTCGATTTGTATATGCATGACGTGATCGTCTTTTCCCTTCCCTTCTTTTCTTCTACTGTTATTTTTATTTTCAGTCTCTCTCTCTCTCACATAGCGATTTCATACCCGATTCCTGTCCATTCCCTTATCACACGATCCCTTCGGGCATCGAAAGGCGTTTGATTTTGGGTTCCTGTCCACGCCTTCGTGGTCTCTTTCCTTTTGTTCGCTGTTCGGTCTGTTGCACAGTCGACCGTCAGCTCCAAGATACCCCGACTCATATCGTTGGCAGTCTTTCTTTTCGCGTTACATATCGGGTTCTAGTTGCATACGTGTGATTCCCCCTTGTTGCGGTTGAGGTCCAGTACATATTTCGTGCCTCGCAAAGTTATTTTTAATTTAGAGATTTGACATATTTTTCTTTTTGGTCTTGTAGATTTCGGTGCAGAGTATTGGTGGGATCAGGGAGTTGGTTTGCGGAGGTCTACATATAAGACGCCACATGGGTATATCGCTGCTACAAATTCTAGAATGCGATATTATTACAATAGTCCGATGGGCTCTCAGTGTAAGGAAATTCTCTCAAGCGAGTTATGGCGTAGTCATGATGGAATTGGGTGGAATCATGTATAGTTATTTGGTTTCTTCCCTATTTTACATAATCGATTGACAGACACCTCATGAGACTATAGTAGCTTTTATTTTTCAATATCCAATAATTTCACACTAGAATACCTGCTAAATTTGGCTTAGGAGATAGAAAGGAAACATAGAACATGAATCGCTGTAGCAAACGAAGCACCGAGAATCATCCCTGCATCTTTTTTACTAACACCAATCATCACATCTGCTGCTTGAACAAACGCAGAGACACCGACGACAGAAGCTACTGCCGGACCACCGAGATAGAATGGGAGGATTGCAGCAAGTGCTTCCAGTGGTACGGCGCGCACTGCATACATGCGCTGATAGAAGCGCTCGCCATTGGTGACCTGAAGTGAGCCAGACAGAGCTTCAGGCTTTGCGATGGAAATCATCGCCCCTGCCACGGATGCAAATGAGGCGAGCGAATTCAGTAGAAGTAAAAATTGTGGCATTGTTGATGTATAATGAGTGACTGTTTGGTTGTAGTGGGGATGGTGGTGTTTGTAAGAGAGGGAGGGCTATTAGGCCCGTGAGCAAGGGACGATTTGATATTCTTTGGTTCTGACTTCACGAACCTATAATACAATTGATCTGATAGAATGGAGCAAAGCCGATGTAGGATAGAGATGTGTGTAGGATAGAGATTTGTGTAGTTTAGAGGAATGAAATGTGTGAGAACAACAGAGGTCAGCCTCATGATGACTCGGAGATAGGGTACTCAATCGGAGATAGTGTACTCAACCCTGTGTCACCTGATGTCCAGGATCCGGAGATAAGTGCGCCTTGTGGCTTTCTCATAGCAGTTATTACTATAGCAGTAGAGCTTTGCGGCATAGGAAGGGTCCATACCGTTCTTGACGGTGCTCTTTTTCTGCTGTTGCATGTCCTCCGATGATCTATTACTGGGAGAGCGCGGTGTCAGTAGCTGGGAATGCGATGGCAGCGCCAGAAAAATGATACAATTTCAGTAACGTATGCTTTTACATGTTCAATCCGCTTGCTATATCCCACAGCCAAGCTATTATCACACAATGTTGTACTCCATTGTGGCCTCATATCCAAGCAACCGACGTCCTATCAGATGCTGTATCCTCAATATCTTCTTTCGAGTCATCCAGCATGGGCTGGAAAACAATTTCCCCATGATCCCATTGGCCCTTTCTCCAAATCACCGGAACTCTACCAAGATCCTTACATTCCACTCGCTCAGCATACTCTGCAACACCCTTCCCACCCCTAGACGCACCCACAATCAACGCTCGGTTGTCCTGATAATCAAAAGACGGAAGATCCTTCCACCATCGCATTCGAAAGCCCTCCGCAATAACCAGAAGCACAATCAAACCTGTTATCACCGCACTGGTAATGACATAGGGCCGCGATCCAACGCGCAGAGCAGCGACCTGGACCAATACTGGTGTGGACTTCCTAAATTTACTGACCACCAATTGAGCCGACGCATATGCAACCAGGATATCGTCAACCAAGGATGTAACTGCGTTCTCCATTCCCTTCATCACGATCTGCGTCTCCGATAGATTCCCACCAGCGACGGAAGTGCGATAATCACTAATGCTAGCATTGAAGGCGTCGCCAAGGGTCGAGCGATAGTAACTGGTCAGGTCGTTGGCAATGAGTTCGAGTTGTCGCATGACCACATGGGTTATATTGTGATGGGGATCGATATTATGGACTGGGCCCATTGATAATGATAATTCGGATTCATTCACTTTGCTGACGCTGATGTTCCGTCCTCGGATATCGACCGAGACATTGAATAGAGCTGGGTTGAATGTCACAGCACACTGGACCTTATCCAAATTCTTGTAGTAGTTCCCTGCAGCGATAGCCATGTACCGCTTTGCAGTGTATGCGGTTGGAGACGCCGCCACCCCCAATGAAACAATTGCATCGTCACCTCGACCAACGTAGACTGAGTATTCAGGTGCGCTGAGGTTGCTGTCGGGAAGTAGCCCGCGAGCTGCGTGGAGAGTGGTTTGTGCAAGGAGTTGAAGTACAAACTGAGAGCTGGTATTGTAAATGCAGTCAACGGAGGCATCAAGACCAATTTCATTGAAGGTGTAGTTGTTCGCGTGGGGTATGGCGACAAGGTTGTCGTCGGAGAGACCGGCGCTTGCGCCAACTCCGTAAGAACGGCCGTGATAATTGTATCGAGTGTTGTCGAGTTTGGGGTGATCGCGAACGCCACCGTTGATTGGGGAGGCAGAGTTAATGGAGGATAGCAGTGAGCCCAGGAGACCTAGGCCCACTGAGTAGGTGAAGTAACCTATTGTCTCACGAATTGTCAACCCTGTCTTGTCGATTTGGCCAGGGTATTCTTTGATTAAACTTAAGTCGGACCAATCAGGAATGAGCAGGGAAGAGTGTTGGGTCCCGATAGCATCTGCCGGTGTCAAGGCACCAGTCCATAGTGCTGATATGATAGCGGACAGATTTCCGAAAAGCACTGTGACGGTAATCATCCAGAAAGGTAGGCCGAAGTTTGTCGAGGGAGTAGACAGTGCTGACCAGAATCCAAGCACGTTTAGGGAGACTGGGGTTTGTGTAAATCGAATGCGAGTGGTCAAATTGATCAAGCGACAGAGGGCGAAGACTTCGATAGCTGCCAGGATAGCACCGAAAATCTGGACTGCTGTCTGGACTGATGTTCGATTTGTATTCACAAAAACATACAGGTTGTCTGGGAGATGCCAAGTGGAGGCATCGCTGTATAGGAGAAGAATGCTCAGAACCAAAGGGACAGTGAGGAGGACAAATAGAAGATGCTCGATCCAAGAGTTGGATGGTGGGGATTGGTTGTCATGATCTTCAGTGCTTTTAGATGAGACAAATAGCTGCTTTGGCTCATCGATTATCCGATTTAGTTGCATGATCCAAAGAGAAGCTCGGGTGTAAGTATATCAATGTTGCATTATAATAGTAAAAGTAAAAAGAGCCACGATCAAATTCCAGGGCAGAGATGCATTGGTATTTAGACCCAGTCCAACTGGGAATCAACGTGCCAAGCAGGGCACCAGGAGCTTTACAACGCATCGATCTACCAAATCACAGCAAGCTAGGATTTGCGTGGCTGATTCTCGAGCACCGGAGCCTCTTGGGATCTCGAATTAAACGCAGAGTTCCGTTTCTAAACAAAAAACGGGAGCCGAGAACGATCGAGCCTCATTTGTTGAGAGTAGAGCATCCTAAAGATAGCCTTCGTTGTTGCTAGGTGCATATGATGAAACGACACTAACATTTCTATATGTTGGCACTGTTCGAAGTATGGCGCCTAATGAAGGGCATCCATTGGCGGCGCACTTTTCCGAGATCCAATAAGCCCAGTGCGTTTCGCTTGCCGCCAACGCTAGTCAATCCCAGCGCGTAGGGAAAATATACTCGCAGTGGAACCAGGAAACTCCAAGAAAAGGCTCGATGATAGATGATCTCTATGAAGCGAGGAGAAAATGTAACATTTGTTGTGGAGAGGATGGCCGACGTTAGGAATACCATTAGTTTGAGGCCTGGTAAACAAGGCCACGTCACTCCTGTGCTTCATTGGACAATTGAAGTGTAGAACACGAGATCAGTTCATTAAATGCCATGAAGAACCAGGAAAATGAGATTGACAATCACCATGATGGAAACCGTCACGTGGCGTTATCCCCGGCTTTTGGCCGTTAGGCCCATTCTCTTTCTCCTCCCTCGTCGGAGGTCGATTTTATCGGAGAACGTATCTCTTCAACATCCTTGTCAGTGAGAGGATATGCCCGCGGGAGGTTTGTGAGACATCCACCGAGAAGACGCGGCTCTGACGATCACTAGGCCCGGCTTGTATAACATGCCGTGAAAAATGTCGTAAATGCGACCGCACAAAACCCGTTTGTCAAAGATGTGTCACCAAAGGCCTCGAGTGCAAAGGATATCCGGAAAAATTCCGCTTTGCGGGAATAGCAACCCGAGGCAAGTGGAAGAACCGGGCGGTCCCTACTGTAAGCCGTGATACTGTCCCAAATCAGCCAGACATCGGAACCAATCATCCAAATGCCAGCCATAAAGATTTTGATCGGCAGTATCCAAGTGCTTTGACCTCATGCGAGGATCAGAATGTTGAACCACTGCCAATTCTCGACCATTCCCGGCCACAGCCAGAAGGGCGAGCCGTGGAGTTAGACGATTTATTAATTCTAGAACAGACGGAACTTTTGTTGACACATTGTGTGTTTACTTTATCCTCGGTGTTCAAATGACCCTTGACTAACCCGAAGCTTTTCAGATGACAAGATTGTATGTCCACATCAAATCGCGCTTCCAGCTACTGGCGCGGACAACCCATACCAAGTGTATGTTTTACCTCTAGCATACGAACAAGTAGGGCTGCTGTATGCAGTTCTAGGACTTTCGGCATGCCACCTTGGAATACAAAAAGAAGATATATATTTGCGAGAAACACTGGCTGTTGAATATCGACTCAGAGCTATACGCTGTCTTGGAGAAACTCTCCGAAACAGGATATCTGGCGAGCTGGATGAAAATGAACGGGATGGGATTTTTGTTACTATCCAGATACTGTTACTTCAGGATGTGAGTTGACAATCTTGCATTTTACTATTCGATCTTGACGCAACCTGATGGCTGAATCTGAATGAAGATTTTCGAATCGGGCGTCTCGACTCACGGAGTTCATATTACGGGTGCACTGTCTATCTGCAACCAGTTGCACTTGTGTGATACCCTATCCACAGAAAATGAAAGAACGATATTTTTCTTAGGGAATCTAGCATGGCAGGTGATCTCATATCGTTCTTGTGTCCGATCCCAGTTCTGACGCATGTCTATCAGGCTAGACATCATTCGTTCACTTGCAGATCCACGAAGGCTATGCTTCTCCCAGGAGCTTCGTGAAGCTGTTGCCACTTTGAGCGACTTGAAATTTGAGCGAGTCAATGGCTGTCCACGCGAGATGTTCCTGGTCATGGGAAACGTCATAGAACACGCCAAGGCGCACGCCGCGGGCAAGTTAGGAACACTAGAGTACAAGCGACTCCTCAATGCTTGTCGAAATGAGTTCTACTCATGGCATTTGAAGACCGACAGATATCCAAACGATGATCCCCGCTGGTCTGCAGTTGCCGAGGCATTCCGTCACGCTTGCATTCTGCATACATCTCGCTTGTTGGATGTCACCCAACCGGCTGAGGCGCCGATAATACAAAATTCCGTGGTAGCGATTTTGGACTCCTTGGCAAAAATTCCCGCAGACTGTCATCTGATCGAGTTGGCGGTCATGCCACTTTTTATGGCTGGGGCCGATGCTTTGTCCCCGTACGCTCAGCATTACGTCCTTTTGCGGTTCGACCATGTCCGGGCTCATGGTGGGGTGGGAAACCATGTGTCGATTTCTCTGCTTAAGTCTGTTTGGGATAGTCGAGGTAGACAGGCGAAAAATGACAGCAGTAATATTCCATGGGTGTTTTTTGTGAGTTCCCTTCTGAATGGGCTTACTTGATTCTGGCTAACTTTTGCAGACTCGCGATGCGGGATCGGAGCGACAACATGACTATCTTATTATATAAACTCATCCAGTTATTTTGCGCATTTAATCTCGTCATTGCTTCTGGAGACATTCAGATTGTGGATCTGGTTTAGCTATTCAACTTTTTAATGGCAGTCGGAGTGTGACAGAACGGCTTGAAGACACAGCTTTCAATCACGAAGCATTGGGGCGAACTCATCGAAGATCTTACGACGCTTGTCGACCAGATCCTGGAAGACCTCCGTGGGTCCAACGCTGGCGCCGAGAATCTCATCGCTTCCCGTCTCCAATGCTTGATAGGCATCTTCGGCATACTGCTTAACTGGCATCCCCATACCTCGTCCTTTCTCAATGCCCATATAATCGTGTAGTTCAGCTATGCGCAACATGATGATAAGCACAATACTCCTTATCTTCCATTCCACCATTCGGGGATCGGGTTGAGGCGAGATTCCACTTACTTGACACAAGAGGCGGAGCCAACTCGATTACTTGAACATTCGATTCCCTCAGTTGGTCTCGCAGACAGTACACAAATGCGCTCAACGCAGCTTTAGCGGCTGAATAGGCAGGGATCCTCGGCGCAGGCACCAAAGCCAGAAGCGATGTGGTACTGCCCAGAACAGATTAGAATGTCTACCAGAAAGAATCCTGTTCTGGAGATTGTGTACTAACAATATAAAGCTTGTTGGTGTGGGCCTGGGGATCAATAGTGGAATGAATGCTTGAGTCAGAGCAACGTAGCTGATGAAATTGACGTCCATCTCTGCTCTGAAATCACTCAAGTCCGCATCCTTAGGGTCAGTTAACTTGTATTTCCGTTGAGTTCCCGGGTTGAGAAAGACACAGTCGATATCTGGATATTGAGCGATTGCACTATTTTCAACTTCGTGTTAGAATACCGTATGTTCGCCAAATTTCATATCAGTGCATTCGCCAACTGACTTCGCGGCAAATTGGGGAGCCCCGTCAATATCGCTGACGTCATAATTCAGCCCCGAGGCCTTTTCCTCGCCGTGCTTTGCAGTGAACTCGTCGAGACGCTCAGTCCGCCGTCCTACGGCAGTTACTTTGATGCCAGCCTGTATCAGACGATCGGCTAGTGCTCTACCGATTCCCGATGTAGCTCCAACCAGCAAGACGTGCTTGTATGGGAATACCATATTGAGATGAGATCCTATCAACCGAAATAGGATTATCGAAGGGAGGATTGTATCTATGTTGCTGGACAGTCGTTGGAGCTCAATTTGGCTGTTGAACTCATCAAGCGGTGTATATATGCAGGTCGAGCGAACCCCGCAGTCTCAATCAAGACATATGAAGTCATACAATTTATATGAGATCATTGCAAACGAAATATGCTAGTAATTAAACTATTGGAACTCTGTCATAGCAGAAGTACAGTGACAAAGCTTCAATACATATCTTGACCATATAGCATCAAATATTGTAGTTGGGGTTGAATTCATATCAAACGTTTAGGTGCCTGTTTTCATTAATCCAGGCCAACTTGCTTGACCCGAGAAGTGCTAGCCACTTTGCCGTCGTCCTCTCTGGATGCAACCGAGCTATCTACCTCTATAGACAATGACTCGAGGGGGTCAATAGCCGAGAGACCCGCCTTTGCCTTTGCTGCCTGTTTCTTATCGCGCCACAAAAGGAATTGAACAGTCGCGGTGCCCAAGACTAGAGATTTATTGTCAGTGGGAAACAAGGATCCAAACGGGGAAAGAGCTTCTTACTGAGCAATACTTGAAGTACTATCGACCAAGTATATCCTTTGGGAGCTTGAGGGAATGCTGTGGTTTTCCACACAAAATTGGGAGCCTTCATTCAATCTCGTTAGTACGAACCTTGAAGCAGTGGGATATATAAGGAGACTCACGACGGCTTGTACAACATAGGCAAGGTCATTAGCCATCGCAACAAGCAGCGCTCGCTTTTCTGTATCATCAGAGCAGATTTCGTTGATCCAACTCAAAATTAAGGGACCAGCACCACCCTGCAAGTAGTGTTAAGATCTGAGGATTGAAAACTTCATGGAATGGCAAACTTACACCAATACTGCTCAGCCAATAAATAACCATACGACCGTTGATATTTGTGTAAAAGGGCATCTTCATCATCAGGGAGGCGAAGATGAGCTGTGTAATAGAAATAATAGTTAGTTACCGTAGCATGAAAGTCACTTGACAGATATAACCTCTCTGAACTTACAGCAGAAATGGCACCGGCGTAAATAAATGGCCAGCGAGCGCCACGACATGGCCCATCAGACAGCCAAGCCCAAACCAATGACATCGCGATGAGTACACCGGTCGTAGGGAGTGGTACTTGTATGAGATTAGCTAGGTCCGTGGATGCAGAACCAAATCAAACTCACAATTATTGATTTGTGCGACAGTGTAAGTCTTCCCGGGGACAGGAGCAGGGTCTGCATTAAAGCTCTTCAGCCAATAGCCCATGGCAGGCTGAGGCAAGCCATTGTTCCAAAGGATGTATAGCAATGCTGTGGGGTGTTAATATAGTTCCAGGACCAGAAAGACGTAGAGCATGACCCACGAAGAAGATATGTATGCCAGCTCAGCAGAATCCCTTTCACCTTTGCCTTAGTCCAAGGCTGCTTCCCAGCACGTCCAATGTTTTGCATTCTCTTAATTGACATCTGATGCTCCTTTTCTGTCGTCCACCATGTCTTCTTGCCACTCTGTGGGAGGTTCGGGAAGAATACATATCCAGCGAGCGCAAGAGGTAGCGTAATGATGCCATCAATAATAAAAAGCCAGCGCCCTATTCTCGTCCGTCAGCAGTTGTTTCATGTCTTTGTGTTTGGGCTGAGTTGAAAGGATATGATGATAGAATCCAAGAGCCCGGGGAGGGAAAATTCAGAAGAATTGCAGTCACATACATCCAGCGTAACCATGTATCCCGTTCAAGTTTGTATATGCAGCGGCCTGGAGGAAACCGCTAAACAAAGTGCCAACTGAACCAGCGAGCCAGAAGATCATTGCCCGCTTTCCAATCTCTTGTGGTGTGTACCATGATCCCAGTAAGTAATGGATGCCGGGGTAAAATCCTGATCTACAACGCCATCAGCAACTGGACACTAGCAGTAAATTGAATCTTGGGGTGTTTGACATACTCAAAGAAACCGACAAGGAAGCGCAAAGCATACAGAGCTTGATACGATTTCACGCTTGATGTACATATAGTCGCGAGTCCCCATCCTACCTCCAGCGTGGGGATGACCCATCGGGGGGAGATTCTGGTTAACAACAAGTTGGAAGGAATTTGGCCAATAACGTATCCCACAGTCCAGATAGACGTGCCTAAAGCAATACTCGTTAGAAAATGCCGGAAACATTCTCGACTCTATCCAAAGATGACCGGAAGAACCGTTGCGGGAGAGGGAAAGCACATACTGGTCACTAGTTGATTGCCAAACATCTCTAGATCCTCTTCCATGCCACTGAGAAAGGCGTTGTTGACATTTGACTGGTCGATATTCTTCAAAAAATAACCAAGAGATGCGAACGTGAGGACGTAAGCATCAACTTTAAAAAGCATCCAACGTTGGTCTGGTGGAAGCTCCCATGTGTCCCATACATAACTTTTCCATGACCTGGCAGGCTTTACAACATCATCTCTCTGGGCGTTGTTGGTCTGGTTCTCCGCGTCTATGCTGTACACTGAGGCGGTTGTCGCTTGTTGAGAATCACCCGCGGTTCCCATCGTGCCTTGGGAAATTTTTTGGCACTGAATGTCCCAGTGCGTAGATTGATAACTGTACAAGGTCTTTCGCTGGGATTAATCCCGGCGATTCTACTAATTTTATACGACTAGTTAGATATGTCCTCAGCGGACCTAGTGATCGCGTCACTGAAAGGTCCTACAATCATCTCGCGCTGATATCCAGAAGGTGAGGAGAAAGCTAGGCACTAAGCCCAACACTAATCTTGATTGCGTCCTGTCGGTTTCTCTAGCGGGTCTCCAGAACATAAGCATGGCGATTCTTCGGGGTAATTTTGCGCAATAACTCACGCAATTTACTTTAAATCTTGCACGCTCTCACACAAAAGAACGCACCAGCCTTGCTAGCTCTCAGCCTATCTCTGAGGCCAAGACAAGACTTGAATCATTTTGCTGACAGAGATGGGTCTTTCTCAAGGTTACGTGCTAAGACGCAATCCTTCACTATCTTACGTGCTACCATCAACATGGACTGAAAATACATGCGACTATTCAAGAACGATCCTCCTGGTTTTCCAGTTTTCAGGATGGCAGATCGTGGTAACAAAAGGACATCTCATTGTCCGAAGTCATCTTAGGTCCTGAAACAAATAGGCGAGATCAGCCCAATCCTCAACGAGGAGATTGATGCAGATTGCTCAACGGCCAGCATATTGATTCCAGCCTATGGCCAAATCCCCTGGTTCCAGCAGATATGGACCAAGTCCGTGGCCTGTTCGCACTCAGCTACATTAAGTCTCATCGACTACCCCGAAAAGCAAACGATCCACAGGCCAGGAATACATCCATCCTCAGGTAAATAAGCCATTCTGCCGAGGAAAGAGGGTACAATAACCTTCTTAATTGCACTACCTGGATCTTTTTGGTATCATTACTATGGCATCGATACATATCATTAGATGACCCAATCGGTCTCAACTCTTCCGAATACGCTCGCCTGGAACCCCAAGAATGGCTGTGTGGTGATCTCGAATATGAAGATATACTCAGGAGATATTTAGTGGAAAGCACTTATTCTATGGATTCAGGCATATTTGCACCGTCGGGATTGTCACTTGGAAAGTTTGTCCTGTTCTCGCGACTTATATTTGCCCACTGCCTGAGGCCTCAAACTTATATTTCTAAGGTAACTATTTTGAGATGTTAGTGTGAACGTCTTTCCCTACGCCTAAACGACATTATTTAACGTCGCAAATCTCCGTCATGGGACTTATCACACAGCTAAGAAACAACATTCATGAAGAGATATCCCCTGTATCCCACATCCCAAGTGCGCAGTTAACTCCGTTGGGAATAGCGCCATTTCCCCTTCCGCGAGTCATAAAGTCGGGTGAAGGCTCGTGCGCCAAGTCCCGGCTTTGTAACATTCGAATATTTGTCTCTGAAAGGGCTGAGAGGGCTAAAACGTGACATAAATCAAAGTCCCTTGCAGGTACATGTGCACATATGACCTTAGATAATCACAATCAAGGTGCCACGAGGTTGTCGACTGCGTTCGACTTCATGGCTACATCTCTCGCGGCGATCAATCTCGATAAGAGCCATACCAAAACCAATGAAGAAACCTATTAGCGGGCTTGGTGCTTGCCGACGCTAATTCCACTCACAGGGGTCCCTGCCCCTCGTGGCGTCAAAATTCCTTGCTTGCTTTTCTTCATTCTCTCTCGACTACTTCGTAGCCGCAACAGCCTCTTTTCTTCAGCCGAAAATCTAGAGGAACCCAGAGAAACATCACCCCTCGGTCCCGATGGACGCTAAAAATCCCCCTAGCTCAGCTGTGCCTACAGATACAGCGGGCAAGAACAAGCACCGGACAAACTCCTTGCTGGCGGAGGAAAGATCAATTCAAAATGGAGACCAAGATATCTTGCAGGGAGAGAAGGTGGACGAGGCTCTTACTGCCAAAATGACGCTTATTAATGATGTGGGAAATCAATATCCTCGCGCTATGAATGAGACATGCAATTAACTCGAGGTCATTTGTCCTCTACAGACCATTGATGAGATTGGCTTCACACGTCACCACTGGAAACTGTTTTGCCTGAATGGATTCGGATACGCAGTTGATTCGCTCATTCTCTTGATCCAGTCGATTATTTCGACCCAGGCTAGGTTAGAGTTCAACCCATCATATTCCACTGGGCTCACCATCGCCGTTTATGTCGGTATGTTGGTGGGTGCCATTTTCTGGGGCTTTTCGGCAGATATTATCGGCCGACGGTTCGCCTTCAACTTCTCCCTGTTTGTTTCGTCCGTATTCACTATTGTTGCGGGGGCTGCTCCCTCTTGGGTCACTCTGGGTTTGTTTACCTGCTTGGGTGCCTTTGGTGCCGGTGGAAACCTGGTTCTCGATACCACGGTCTTCCTAGAATACCTCCCCAGCAAAGAACAGTGGCTATTGACACTCATGGCAGCTTGGTGGGGTGAGCTAACACTCTCCAGTGAACCTTCTATCGAAAGACTGAACTGACTGATAGTATCTAGGTCTGGGTCAGCTTATCGCAGGTCTGTTTGCTTGGGCGTTTCTTCCCAATTTCTCCTGTGGTGATACAGCCACCTGTACTCGTGACAACAATCAAGGATGGCGTTATGTTTGGTACACATCCGGTGCCTTGATATTCGTTCTTTCCGTCCTCCGTGTTACCATCGTCCGCCTTGAAGAGACCCCCAAGTTTCTCATTTCCGAAGGAAAGGACGAGCAAGCAGTACACGTTCTACGCAACATTGCCGATCGACACAACCGCCCATGTAGTCTCACTATCGAGCGGCTTCAGGCATGTGGACAAACTTCTCGCAGAGCCCCAGGGAATGGTTGGTTTGTGCGACTCATCTCGCCGAGCGAAGTGTTTTTCCATCTCTGTGGACTCTTCGCAACTCGCAAAATGGCTCTGTCAACGTCTCTGGTCTGGCTTTCATGGCTCCTCATTGGCCTCGCCTATCCGCTTTACAACGTGTTCCTCCCCACCTATCTTGCATCCCGGGGCGCAGCCTTCGGACAGAGTAGCCCGTACATCACCTGGCGGAACTACGCCATCAATAACACCTGTGGTATCCTCGGTCCTGTTCTGGCGGGATTCATGTGTCGCTCGTCCTGGTGTTGGGGCCGTCGGGGAACCATGATCATCGGAGCTGTGGTCACCATGGTTTTCTTCTTCTGCTATACGCAAGTGCGCACTGCAGACCAGAACGTGGGCTTTACGTGCGCTATTTCTTTCTGCTTGAACGTATACTATGGTACCCTCTATGCTTACACCCCCGAGGTATGTGTCTGCTCACTTTGCTAGCCCTGCCAACCCGTATCTAAGCTTTATAGGTCTTCCCCTCCGCTCACCGGGGCACAGGAAATGGCGTTGCCATTGGACTCAATCGGATCATGGGGATCGTCAGTGCCGTTGTCGGGCAGGCGGCAAATGTAGGGATTTATTCTTTGCTCTTCTGAGGGAAATGCTTATATCGTTAACAGACCAGCACACCCGTCCCGATTTACATCTGCGCGGCCCTATACAGTGTGATGGCAATTGTTGCTGGAGCCTTGCCATTTGAACCGTATGGCCGACGAAGCAGCTGAAGATACAAGTGCTTTGATTGGAGCATATAGTAGTCAATTTCTTATGGGCGAATCTGGATAACCCAATCGGAGAGGCTCATGTTGCTGCTCACCTAGGCAGGTTAGCCGCCAGCATCTCATTCATATTCAAAAAGAAAACATCATACTATTCACCATCACTACTAGATATAGTCGATGGACAATCCGATACCCAGATACATGGAGTAAAGTGTGAGTACCAATTGAACTAAAGAGAAAATTGGGATTTATGGCCAAATTGCCTAGAGGAATTGATATGCCGTCTTCAGCATTGAAGCGGTTTTCACGCCGGTAATTACCAGCAACCGTTCTCCGTGCAGTCAGCAGCTAAAGATACTTATCTCTCCATCGCTTTCGCCGCCCTTTCTCTCGCACCAGTTTCCCAATGATCCCATGCCAAAGTAAGACTCACGGTATCTCTCCACAAATCCTCAGGATCACCTCCAGGCGGCGGTTCCCTGCCATTTCCCACTTTCCCATTCGTCTTCCCTTTCACAAACCGCATATGCCAAGGTATAATCCCAATCTGTTCAAATCCCATCCTCTGCGCAAGTCGAGCACTAGCAGGGTTCATCGTGCTAGCCATCCAATGTACTCTGCGCAACCCAAGACCACCTTTCTCCGTGGGCTCAAAGGCAAGTTGTAGAGCAAGTCCAACAGCATTAGTTGCCACATGGGTTCGCTGGTATGGAGGCAGGATGACAACAAATCCAATCTCTGTGCACATGTTTATCGGCGATGTACGGATAAAGCTCACAGTGCCAGCTAATTCACCTTCGGGGTCTTCTGCGGATGGCGGCCGTGTCTTGTCTATGATGGCAAAGGCGAATGACTCTGGATTGGAGAAGGACAGAATGTGACTCGTGCAATTATTGTAGAATAGAGATTTGAAGGCGGTTGCTGAAGCCGGGGAAGGCATGGGCATGTGGGCGTATATGTCGGGATGGGGTGATGATAGGCGGAAGAAGGTTTCACAATGTTGCTCTGGATTGAAGGGAATGAGCTTGACACGTTCGTTTGACGCCTCTCCCACGTCGAAGGGGAAGACAGATACTGAAGCCATCTTGGTGTGGGGATGTTGGGCTTGGAAAGAAGATTAGGTAGCTTGGTGACTTGACAGATCAGCAAGTCGATTTCTGATTAGTTCTGCGTGATAGGCAAGTCGCGAAGTTTGTCTGAAGAGATTGCGTCTTACAATCTTACAGTCTTACGGGGTAAAGTAGTGAGTCACCCTTCTTGGCGAAGACCTCGAGATATGTACGGATTACATTGACCCATTGATATCTTACAATATTGTCACATGCTCAATCCCATTTCTGATAAATTTTGGCGATGGGTTATTTGTGAGGACATTTATTCAATCTTTGCCTCTTTGGGGCTGATCCATTCATACGCCCACCTTGGAACATTGCCAGGGGACAAGGACCTCGTATTCCCGTCCTTTGTTCATTGGTCGAATTCCACGCTCTTTTCACAAGCCACAAAGGCTTCTGAAGGATTATGAAGGGGCTCTCTCATAATCTGCAATTATTCGCTATACATGAAACCGCACAAAACCCCTAGAATATCAATCTAGACTCCTCTCTGGATCCTCCCGAGATCGAAAATATGAGGCTATCAGTATTTATTGCAACTCGTTTTGCCCAGCCATTCCAGGCGTCCACTGCCGATCCGTGCTCTCAGCAGTGTGTTAATCGTCGCCAACTAACTCCATATCACGGCAAAATTGACCTGAGACTTGCTAACGTTAGTCTCGACACTTGGATTCAAACAAATAATTTACTTATCGCTCACCATCCTTCGGTGGCTGATGCTTTTGATGTTGGACAAATCCATCTTGTTAGAACATTTCAAGCGCCTTTGAGCCTTCTTCATCAGCAGCTTTCTTGAAGCCCTTCCAAGTGCCCCTGTGCAAAGGGCACCTCCGAGCAAGAGGACGCAGTGCTGACGAAACTGCGGTCGGTGCTTGACACGGGCTTAGAGCCGTGATTGGTGTCAGTGTTGCAGATGCAAATTCATAGTCATCGTTTGGCATGGAGGTGAAGTCGTCGTTGCTGGTAAACCCGGGATCGTTGCTTGGCGTGAAGTCGTTTCTGGTAAACTCGGAACCGTTGCTTAGCATGAAGTCGATGCTGGTAAGCTCGGGATCGCGTAGAGTCGTTGTTTGGGGGGCTGAAGTGGATGCTGTTGATTTGGGTGCCTTGAGACATGGTACTTGGAGGCATGGTACTCGGAGTTATGGTACTTTGAGAATAAGTCTTGAAAGAGGGAAATAATCGATACGCCAAAGCACCGATAACAAGGAGCGATAGGAGAGTGGACGTCATCTTCCTATAAATGGAGCCAAAGATAGATATCCATCCGTATAGCTTTACCACCACGTGGGTCATGCTGTAAGACATACTCATAGGAGCTACTTCCGCAAAGACAGTGTCCACCATCAAACAGCAAAGAATGGGTACAACCATCCTACTACCCGTGAAGATGAGGATATCGTCCAATAAAGTCTTCTTTATCTTGCCAAAAGGGTCACGATCTGCCAACCACAAAAGAACATTCAAAGTAAATGGGAATATATGCACATCGATCAGACCGAATATTTGACCATGGGAGATCCAATCCTTGTCGGGGTCGTTGGGGTCCATGCTTAGGTTTGATATTGAAGGGAGAGGAAGTTCGAGGGGTACAGGTTGTACCTCATCTTGTGCGCGGGTCTCATCTTCTAAGGAAGTATTAGACTTGTCAGTTGATTCTAGATAATCCCTAGGTTTGACTCACCTTCCTGGAAATAATCGATGATTGTGATGAGTGGTGCGACCAGTGTCACCATAGAAGCGACTTGGCCAAACGACCAATCATTGAACCCAGTCAACGAAGCGTCGAGGCCCATCTTTTCTGGTCGCTTTATTGCCCCTATCACTTTGGAAATACCGAACGCAGAAGCAATGATTAACCAACCGACCTAATATCAAGTCAGAAAACATAGGATGTAATCCACACACGTGTCCCGTATCTGACCTCTATAATGGCGGAATCCCACACATCCACGAACACCAAACCCGTGATGTATACAGATAAAAGGGGAAGGTAGCAAAGTGTCAATTTCAGACTCCGCGGCGAGCGAGACGCGCGGCTCCAGTTATACACAATGCGTAACAACCTTCGTATGGGTCCTGCAAGGAAGGTTCTGGCTCTAACAACACCACGTGAAGTCTTATCGTAGAGGTTAATTACCCTCGAAGCAAATCCAACGATAATCAAGATAATCGAGAGAGGCATCGAAAAGAATGCCGAATTCATCCCCGGACGAGCGTGCATATGACAGATTGCAGGGTCACTGATGATAGTCGGGTGATCGTGATCATTGTCTTCGTCAAAGGCCCAGCGATAGTTTCCCGTAAAACTAAGGCCCACGATCAACATTGTCGCCAATACGCCCACTAAGAGTACCCTTATTGCCCGCTCGATAGGACGGTCGTGGAGATAGTTGCGCAGATGCGTTAAGCAAGATAACTGGGTCAGGCAGGAAAGCCAGGCCATTTGGGTGACGACTAGCCAATGATAGGTTGCCAGGCCACATTTAAGCTGGGAATACCCGGCGACCAGGATCCAGAAGCCTGTCACAATTTGTATGTCGCTCATTGCTCGGATGCACTGTTTTCGAAGTTTTAATCATGCCTCATTCACCGATTCAATCTCATAAGGGAACACACCTTGACTAGAACCTTCGCAAGTTTTTCGCTCTTGCCAATTTTAACCAAAGGGCTTAGATAGAGTTTGAACAATGCTAAGGGGGATACGTCAATCGGGTTGGGTCGAAACGGTAGACTTTGAGCATTTTGAAATGGGTCGCGGGTTGGATCGTAGGAAGTGAAGTAGTAGAGGGAAATGATCACTACCGCGAAGCAAGTAGTCACGATATTGTTGATAACGATCTAAGAATGTGAGATGCGCCCGTGATCGAGAGAAAGGGAGACTCGTACCCCAATCCCAGTGATATCGCTGTTTGGAGATAAGGGGGCGGGAGCAGAGCAGTCGAAATTGCAAGACATAGCGCCGTCATATGGGCTCCCTTTTCCGTATATCTATCGGTGCGTCTCTCTATTTTGTAGTCTACTATTAGGTCGAAGTAGGCATTGGGGGTTTCTATCCTCGCTTAAACACGTGATGAGTCTGGGTGAGGCTGACAAGCACGGTCCCTGTTATGTCTAGATATGCTTGCTCCATGGAGAATTTCATTTATCTCGAATTTGGCACTTCGATGAAATCATAATCGGAACACTCCGCTACCTACCCTATATTCGGTTTATCTCCCACGCTGTCCTACCATTGTCGAAAATAAGGAACTGCTCGAGGTTTGGTGAATGAGAGAGATGAACTTGATGATATCAATAGTACTCGGGTTATTGGATCATGTCCAAAGTTGAGCTGACCGCTGGTCCTATCAAATCCCATAACTTTGGACACAATGAGACCCCATTAGTGAAGGTTATACCTCGTCCCGCCAAGCAACCATAGAATCTAAAAAAAAGCCATCATCCGAGCAAATAAGCATTCCCTACTTACAATGTCTATTGTATCAACCGCATAAGCTCTAGTCGTGAGATTGAAGCAGCAGCACTTGCATAGTCAGGTAACTTTGGGAGTTGGTGATAGCTCTGGAGGCAAACAGATCAAGGAAATCCACAGTTCTTGTGTCCAAGCAGACCCTTGGAAACCTGTTGTTGTGGACTTCCACCGCCAATAAGCAGTCCACAATTTACTAGCGTCCGTCAAATCATGCCTAGCGCTTACTTTGAAAGAACCCCGTGGGGGCTAACTGAGCGGCTTGGCGTGTGCCACTTTTGCAAAACATTCGCTTATTCTCCTGAGATAATCTTGGCATAGACTGGCTGTTTAGAGAACACCCTCGTGAGTGCGAGATAGCTGGACATTCTCTTGGAGTAGAACGCTATCATGTTAAGCAGGACCATTGTATCTCCGAAATTGCTTCGCGCCATCTTCGTGATTGCGGCTGCTTGTTTGGGGGTTGTGACGTTACTAAAACTTCGAAGCACGAACCGCTTCATCGATTCTGATTATGACTTCGCTGTTGAATCCGGGAAACATGTCAACTGGTCGCGATTTGCGTACACCCAATATGCCACCGACCGGTTTTATTTGTGCAATTCGATCATGTTATTCGAGAGCCTCCACCGGCTTGGAAGTAAAGCGGATCGCGTGCTGATGTACCCATCTGATTGGTCCGCATCTGAGACCGGTGGTTCAAGGGAAAGCTGTATGCTTCGCTATGCTCGGGACCATTATGAGGTCAAGCTCAAGCCAATCGAGATACAGATGAAATCTGGGAGTGATGGTGAGTGACCTCAGCTCATACAGTGTTGCAGAGCACTTGATTAACGCCACCATTATAATCCAAAACGAAGCTAACCTTGCAACGCTTCTGTCAGTGACGTGGTCAAAGAGCTACACGAAACTGCTTGCCTTTAACCAAACAGAGTATGACCGGGTCCTTAACTTGGATTCGGATGCAACCATTCTGCAGGTGTGTAAATCAGTCATGGAGTTGCATGTTACAACAAAAACTGACCTGTATTCAGACCATGGACGAGTTATTCCTAGCCCCGTCCAGCCCCGTCGCCATGCCCTTGGCCTACTGGAAAGAGCCGGAAAAGGGAATTTTCACATCTGCACTCATTCTCATTCAACCGTCTGCAGCTTCCTTCGATCGCACAATGGATGCAGTTTCTAGGGCCAACTCTAGCACCTTTGACATGGAGATTATGAACAACGTGTACAAAGATAGTACGCTTATTATACCGCATCGGCCGTATATTCTCCTGACTGGAGAGTTCCGCTCCAATAAGCACGAGGCATATCTAGGTAATTCAGGCGAAACGTGGGATGCCGAAAAGGCTTTCAAAGCGGCTAAATATTTGCATTTTTCCGACTGGCCTGTTCCTAAGGTATGTCAGGTTTCGAAATGGGTATCAGTCGTCAATAATTTCTAGAAAGGCTAACTCGTTCCGTAGCCATGGATTAAAGCTCTCCCTGGTGTGGTTGAAGATTCGCAGCCTCAATGCGAGTTGAATCCGGCAACTGGGTATAAGGATGACTGCCGCGTCAAAAACCTTTGGTTGGGAGTTTACGAGGACTTTAAGATCAGACGAGAGGTATTTCAAGCTCCTCCTTATACATATTAACTCCATCAAGTTTACTAACCGTAGTTAGCATATATGTGACACTGCTGTAAGAGAAGGTTGATACCCTGAAGCAGTCTCAGGTCTTTTCAACGTAATTGCATATTCTGCGATCACGATATAGGATATCGGTCGCCTACCATCGAACGCTGGACGTTCATACGTTATGTTTATGTCTAGCTGTACATTACCACGATTAATCATCGTGATCTGTTGGGATACTAAATAGGATAATTCTAGATTAATGAAGATCCGTGTAAAGTGACAATTCCATGTACTTATTGTATATATATGGCCGTTGTATCAAATCAAAACGGATGTCTGATAGAATTGTTCAGTAATCTATTCATGCTGGGCAAATGAAGTGTGGCTGTGGATAGTGCATGCGGCAAAAGAAGGTGGCTGGCTGCCAAATGTCAATGCGCAGGCCCTTTGCCTACTATTCTTTGAGATTTTCGATCATGTATACCATTTGTGTTAGACAATATCTTCTCTAGTGCATCAAAATGTCTTAGCCACAAAAGGTTCAAAGGCAAGGTGTTACATACAGCCAGCCACATTCCCACTAGTTGGATCTTTGTGCAGGATACCTCGAGTAGATCGCATGGCTTCGTGAATTTCCAGCCCCGGAAGGAATGCCACCACTCTGATATATTTAAACTAGGTTTCTCTAACGCCCTTCCTTTTTTTTTCTTGCTGTGTTTTTACACGACAGGCAGAGGATAGAACAGCGAGCTCTATGGATTACAAAAAAGGTCCACTCAAAGTGCTTGTGACAGGAGTAAGCAATATTCAAAACACATTAGTCCAGATCTCTAACATATAGTCTATTTAATATGTAGGCAGCAGGCTTTTTGGGATCGAACTTGGTCGATTTCCTCCTGGATAATGGCCATACGGTGATTGGGCTCGACAGTTTTCAGAGTGGCTCATCGCAAAATTTGTGCCATTTAGAAAACAATCCCCGGTTTCAATTTATTAAGTAAATTTATCCTGCGCGCCTATGAAATCCCTCGCTAAGAACCAGTCACAATATCCAAGATCCTCTTCCAGAACTTGAAGGAATTGACCAGATCTACAATCTAGCTTGCCCAGCAAGCCCAGTCCATTATCAAAAAGACCCAGTGTCGACCTTGAACACTTGTTTCCTCGGTACTCAAAATCTGTTAGAGCTTGCAAGATCCAGAAACATACGCATTCTGCACACCAGCACCTCAGGTTAGCAGTGCACAACCCCAGCCCCCTCTATCCCTCGATATGTACCTGACGCAGGATATGCCCATGAAAACAGAAGTCTACGGTGACCCCTCTGTCCACCCCCAGCCGGAGCACTACTGGGGCAACGTGAACTCGTTCGGCCCACGAGCCTGCTACGACGAAGGTAAACGCGCCGCTGAAGCCCTCTGCTACGCCTACCGAGAGCAACACAACGTCGACATTCGCATCGCGCGCATCTTCAACACATACGGACCGCGCATGGGCGCGAGCGACGGCCGCGTCGTTTCAAGCTTCATCGCATCTGCATTAGCCGGTGAAGATCTCAAGATAACCGGTGACGGCACGGCAACTCGCTCATTTCAATATGTTACCGACTGTACACAGGGTCTGTATGCGCTCATGCAGAGCGACTATAGCAAAGGCCCGGTGAATATCGGTAATGATGGGGAGTTCACTATCCAGCAACTAGCTGAAATCGTGATCGAGCTTGTTTCGCAAATGACTGGTCCGTCCACCGTGTCTATTACATATCTGCCGCCATTAGTAGATGATCCGACGGTGCGTCGGCCGGATATCACGTTGGCGAGAAAGGTGTTGCGATGGGCACCGGTTATCCGGCTGGAAGAGGGACTGCGGAGAACAATCGCGTGGCATATCAACGAGGGGCGGTCTGGCTGATTAACGAGCTATTGGTGGGCAGCTGCATCGTAGTTCTCGGGTAGGGCTTCCGAGGTCACTGGTTGCATATTTGGGAATTTGTTTACTCAGTAATGTCTGTTTGGGCTGTGATCGGTCCTCGTATTCGAAAGTCTTTGCGATACCCCTCTATGGCGCCTATTTTGAATGTATCTGTGTGACCAGTAAATTTGTGAAATCAAAGCGCGATCCCCAGAGATTCTTTCTTATCAATAAGCTCTATCTGACGGATTATACAACCTATCAGATTCACGTTGAAGCCAACAAACGTGGGTCCGACAAAGATTTCCTCTTTGGGATTAGCTTATCGTGGCCAAGTATGAACTTCAAGATGCGCGACAAGGTGAGACTCGCCAATCACGGCGTTATGTATGGCCTATTTTTCAAGTAACAGTGTCATAATTCTGCAGCTTGATTCTTGGCTATGCGGGGTGAGTATATATATGGCTCCCATCCCCCCAGCACAAGTCCCAGTCCAAATCGAACATCCTCAGTGAGCATCGCTTGATTCATCCTTTCTCTTTTCATACACCAACCCTTTGGTGCAATCAATCTATACAATGGGTGACTACACACCAGAAGTGGCAGGGGATTCAGTGCCTACCCCATCAGAGAAGCAGGTAGACCTCGCTGGCATCAAACCATCCAGCGGAGTCCTTTACCACCAGCTGCGAAATGAGCCCTTGAATATCGTCGGTGGTCGAGGCAGCTACTTGCTAACCGAGGATGGTCTCGAAATTCTGGATGCAACATGTGGTGCAGCTGTATCCTGTCTGGGTCACAGCGACGAGCGTGTCCACGAAGCCATCTTGGATCAGCTGAAGAAAGTCCCCTACTGCTACTCTATGTTCTTCACCAACAGTGCTGCAGAGAGTCTGGCAAAGTTTTTGGTAGACTCAACTGGAGGCAAGATGTCTCGTGTCTACATCGTAAGCTCGGGTAAGAGACTTGTCCATGCGGAACCAACCTTGGTTACTAAAATGACAATAGGTACCGAAGCTGTTGAGGCTGCTGTGAAGATGGCCATTCAGTATTTCACAGAATTGCCCGTCCCTGAGCCCCAGCGAGTTAATATCATTTCGCGAAAGTCGTCCTACCACGGAAATACCCTCGGGTCTCTTGCTGTTGGACACCACGCCTCCCGCCGGAGAATCTATGAAAGTCTTCTTTCGAAGAATGTCCACCACGTGCCCCAATGCTATCCCTACCGCAGAATGAATGCCAATGAAAGTAACGAAGAGTATGTCGCAAGGCTAGCTCAAGAACTGGAGGACGAATTCCAAAGACTTGGCCCCAACACTGTCTGTGCATTTGTAGCCGAGACAATGCCAGGTGCTGTGAGTATACCCCAGTCCACTGTATTAAACGTGCTAACTAATTTCCATAGACACTTGGCTGTGTCCCCCCACTTCCCGGCTACCTCAAAGCACTGAAAGCCGTCTGCGAGCGACACGGAGCGCTCTTCGTCCTAGACGAAGTAATGTCCGGCATGGGCCGCACCGGAACACTCCATGCTTGGGAGCAAGAAGACGTTGTGCCTGATCTCCAAACGATTGCCAAGGGACTCGGCGCCGGCTATGCCCCGGTTGCCGGGTTGCTCATCAACAAGCATGTCGTCGATACTCTGAACAAGGGTACCGGCGCTTTTGTCCACAGTCAGACATACCAGGGCCACCCGGTTGCCTGTGCGGCTGCATATAGAGTGCAGCAAATTATAAGAGATGATAACCTGCTGTCCAATGTGCGGGCGATGGGAGAATATCTGGGTCAGCGTCTTCACGAGCGTTTAGATAGTCACCCTCACGTGGGTGATATTCGAGGCAGAGGCTTGTTCTGGGCGGTTAGTTTTCTTCATTTCAACTTTTGATCTTTACTAACATGGATATAGATTGAATTCGTTCAGGATAAAGAGACGAAAGAGCCATACCCACCTTCAAAGGCGCTTTCTCGAACTTTGCACGCGACAGGTCTTAAGCCTGGAAATGCAATTTCATTGATGCCAGGAAATGGCGGTATCGACGGTGCTAATGGTGACCATATTATTCTGGCGCCGCCTTATAACACTACCCGTGAAGAGATCGATTTGATCGTCGACCGAACTGTTCGGGTTATTCAGGAGGTTCTGGGATAGGGGTTTCTCTGCGAAGTAGTCTCTATTGTATTTTCTCGCTATTAGCCTAGTTCAATTGCCATTCAATTTCTAATCAGCCAGAATAAAGGAGTACTTAAAGCATGTTCATCCATCAAGACGTTTTCGCCGCAGTGTGGTAAATCAGTGTCGCATATATATATATATAGGCGGGAAGTCACCTTCCAAGCCATCCAATTCACTATAGCCACTATTCTTCCCCTCACTATCTCTTCTGGTGGATCATGATATGTGCATAAAATCCTAGCGTATCTTATGAATTTATTCTGATCCATTGTCATTGCCATTTATATCTATCGTCCCGAGTGTTAACCCAAGCTAATTGGTCAATAATCAGGTGACCGTCATAGTAGAGATAAGGCTGCGGGGCAAGAAGTTACCCCAGGGGCCGTTAATATATAATCTATGCTCCTACTCATATTATTTGTCGATCATCCGTTAGCTAGTAGCACATCATTTGTTTGATCATCGAAATGCCTGGAGACGACAAGTTCTCGCGGTCACGGACTGGTATGGCTGCTTATCCCAGGGTGAAGTGAAAGTGCTGATATAAATATGGAACAGGATGTCTGCAATGCCGAAAGAAGCACAATAAATGCGACGAGCAACAGCCAGTTTGCTCATTTTGTGCTTCGCGGGATTTAGACTGCAAATATTCATCGGGCGTGAAATGGGTTCGACCAAAAGAGCCAATGCTCACAAGGCATAAGCCTCGCTCCAAAGACACTCGTCGAGCAATTGAACAAAACATGCTAGGTCAACCTTCGGCGCTATTCGGACAAACATATTTTGATTCTGCAGAAGATAAAGCTGCCTGGGAATATTGTACGTTATCTCATGGTATGTAATTGGAATTGGGATTGGAATATCTAATCGAGAATACTTGAACAGACATAAGCCTCGTTTCATCCAATGTCCCTGCTGTAGATGGCCCTGATAACCCTTACCGGCAGCTCTCCATCCCAGCTCTATCATCACCGATTCTCCTCGACACTATTGTCTGCATATCCACAGAACACATGCTCAACTTCGGATTAACCAGCATTGACATCGCAGCCAAGCGACAGCAGCGAATGCTCAGAACGCTAGGGCAAAACCTGCTCAGCATCGATGCCGAGACCGCCTGCGACGCGGGTACAATCGTAGCTAGCAATAAGCATGAGCGAGAAGCGCTCCTCACGGCCGTCGTCCTTCAGGGGATCGTCGTGGCACAAACAGCAGACGGCGTACTGGAGCCCCATGTCAAATGTGCTTCTTGGCTCATGCAAGCACTAGGCTACTTCGATAAAATACCACAAAACCCCATCCCACGCATGGCAGTACAACGCTTCGGCATGGTCGACGTAATGCTAGCCATCTCACGACAGCGAAGGCCGTATGCACCGCGGAAATTCATACTCAACCAGCCCGACCAGAATCGCTGGGACACCACCGAGCCCTCATTCCACAAGATGACAGGATGCCCACAGCCACTTATGTGCTTCCTAGTACGAATAGCGCATCTAGCCTGCGACGTGAGCGAGGGACTCGAGATAATTACAGATAAAAGCGCGATGCTCAACGAAGCATTTCAACTTGACACCGAGCTTCGCGCTTGGGGATCAGAGTATAGTGGAATCCCACCGGCGCAATGGGAGCGTTCACCCTTAGATATCCTCACTGAGTGCTTTTACTGGACTGCGCATTTACTACTTGCTCGACGGGTTTTTCGAGATCAGACGTGTTCACCACGCGTGCAACATTTGGTGCGTGTATGCTTTGGGCTAATGGATCATCTGTCGACGGGGTGTGGGCCTGATTCTTCGCTGCCTCAGCCGTTTTACATTGCTGCGAGGGAGGCTATATCGCGCCAGGATCGTGCGTGGGTTCGACAGAAGCATGAGTCTATGACGGCTTATTATAGGGAGCAACAACGGAACTCGGCAATGGACCTTATTGAGCAGATCTGGGAAAAGACGGATAAGCTACGGGAAATGGGGAGTGGATCTGGTTGGCCGAGGGAAATTGAATTGTCAATAGTGGATAGTTATGTGCAAGCGCTTGATAGAGGGGCTTGTTTCTTCATCTTCTAACGAAGTTAATTTTGTATTATTTTTCGGGGGGTCTTTTTTTTTTAACTTTCCCTTCGGATAATTATGGATGAACCGGTTCGCCGAGCATGAAACAATGAACTGTCCCAGGGGTATGTATTTACCTAGATGAGAATGTCGGGATCTCGCATGTCAACAATGGAAGATAGGGCACCTACACATGTCGGGTCAATAAACTCGAAGATTACTGCATGCAGTAGCCGAAGCAAAATAAAGTACTAAAGGAGCCAGCGCTAAACGGAGACCGAGAGAATAGGCTGAATATGCAATGCCCCGATTTGGAGATTGATCATGAACTTGAGGTGAACTATAAAATGTATAAAATTATACACTGGACAAAGTATCATATGATTTATACATGAATACTGATATTCCACTGGAATATCGGGCCGGAGATGACGGACGAAGCTGTTGCACCCTGAATTCAAGACTGGTCGGGTCAGGGCCTGGAATGACCTGTCATGTCCCCTGAACCAATCATAACCAAAGCCGGGGCGGGTACCTGAATGCTCTCTGGCGGTCCGCGGAACTGCACGTGTAACTGCATGCTTATTGGTTGAATTTACTGGATTAGCCCCTGGAAACTGTGGGTGTCCAATAGTCACTGCACAGCGTTCAGTGGCTGACTTGTTCTCGAATCAGGGGAAACTCCTGTCTGTCCAGGGGAAAAAACGTCTATCACGTCCACACGCCCTATACACTTCGTTAATTCGTTAAACGCATTGACATGGTATGTCTCAGATGCCCCGATCTCACGTGGATGTCGTTCGCATCCAAGCGATGTGGTTTGTGTGGTTCATTTGACGCCACCATTTTCTACAGAGACTTGCCCCTGAGAGTCACAGTCACACAGCGAGTAAGGGGAGCACTCGTACCCCTCTCCAAAACAATGGCCAGTCTGTGCCCTTATTCTGATGCTGCTTGCATTTATGCAGGCCAAACGCAGGGGCCAAAACCAGTTTTCATCCACATCTTCATACTTCGTATACTGGACCAAAATGAAAAAAAAAATCCCCATACATTTTCTGGTTCAAATCCATAGAAGAAAAAAAAAGAGAAAAAAACGTAAGAGAACTAAAAAAAGACGGACAAATCGAGGCCCTGACGAAAAAAACAATGGGGGCCCCCACGAGGTGCCAATAGTTCAGAAAGCCTCCGGTGTGTCCATCTCATGCCCGGTTCCCCGTGTAGTCAGCATCCCATCTCCTGATCCGCTTTCTTCTTGTGTTTCTTGTTTCTTATCCCCTCCATTCTTTTCTTTTCTTTTGCGTCCGTTTCATTCTTTCACGGCGACATTATATCACTCTTTCTACCCAATTCATTCGTTTTCTCGAGAACGGTTTGCCCCCCCCCCCCCCGTTCCCGCCCCGTTGATCGATTCAACCCGGGTATTAGCCATCTTCATTGATTCTTCATTGATTCTTGTCGACATAGGGAGAAATTATTCCCCTGCCATTCGTTTCCAGCTGCTTAGGCCAGCCTTTTGATTTATCCTCTCCTTTTTTGGACGCCTCTGCGACGCGCCCTTTCAACCCAACCACCCAGTCTCTGACGTGGACACCCTCGAACGCGAGATCCCTACGCTAGACTTCCATTCGTTTTACATCTTCAACTTGACCCTCTCGCGCCTGTGGCTGTTTCGAGAGAGTTAAGATTTTCCAACACTCCGTCTGTTTCCGATCACACCCATCCCATTTTCTGTCGGCCGGATCGTCACACATCGTACCTTTTCTTTCCGAAGAAAACTATATACGCAACCCAAAAAAACTGCATATTCAATAGCTTTAACACAATTCCCATTTTGTGCGATATATTTTCTACCGTACCACATTACATTATGTCTTCGTTGACAGAAATGCATTACCCGCCAACCGGCACAAATGTGCCCACGGCATCTTCTTCCTCGCCTCCAGCTTCCACACCCTCTCCGTCGACCTCCAGTGCTACCACGGCCCATTCTTCTGCCACGCGCCGACCGCCTCGCAAAAGCACTCTGACTCAACAACAGAAAAACAACAAACGTCAACGCGCAACACAGGATCAGCTTGTCCTTCTGGAGATCGAATTCAACAAGAACCCAACACCAACTGCGACTACTAGAGAGCGTATTGCTTCGGACATCAATATGACGGAGCGTTCTGTTCAAATCTGGTTCCAAAATCGGTAGGTTCTACTTAGGGTCGTGTTTCTATTTTTACCTCTACTGACTAGATGACAGTCGCGCGAAAATCAAGATGCTGGCGAAAAAGAGCATTGAGACTGGTGAAGGATGCGATTCTATCCCAGAATCCATGCGCCACTATCTCGCAATGCAATTTGACCCGAACAAACCTGGCGCAAGAGACCCCTTTGGCCGTGCTGGCGCATATGGCCCGCCTAGCATGTACGCGAACGAGACCAACCCTTCTGGCAAAGTTGGTATGTTGATGGTCTGCCTCTGCTACAGGGCCTGTTGAACTAATTGTTGTTTCTAGTGATCTCTCACTTCACTTGTCGTTCCTTGACTGTCGGCAGCTGGCGGCGCATTGGACAAAACGCCATGGACTTGGTCGTTTTCTATTCCCCTGATAAGGCATGCATGACTTACTATATCAACAACGATGCTGCCGGCTATAAGATCGAATATCCGTTCGCCTATATCAAGAATATCACCTTGGAAACCGGTGATCCGAACCCTGGGCCGAATGGGGAACCACCTCGACAAGGTGGTCTTGTCGTGGAATTGAACCGCCCGCCGCACTTTTACATGGACTCGTCCAACTCAGGAGGGTTCTACCAGTGCGGCGATTTCACCGAGGAGCAGCAAGCTAGTCAGATCATGGTTCATCACCTGGGAGGCCATCCCAAGGTCTTGAGTGTTCAGCTTGCCAAGCTTGTGTCATTGGAGTCCTTCCAGAATCGACTAGCTTATAATAACCCCAGCTTCGCCGTGCCAGCTCCGATGTCTCCGCCGTTCATCCAGCGCCCTGCGTCTCAGCCCAATCAGTTTGCTGCTCCCACTTATATGAACATGTACCAGGACAGCAACCACTTGGGCTTCAACATGCCAGCTGCTCGTGGGCATAAACGCCAACGAAGCCGTTCAGTACCCGTTGCAATTGACATCTCGTCACTCCAGGGTCCCATGTCTTCGTTCCACGTGCCACCCCCTCCACCCCCATTCAACCACACCGAGGCAGGCATCTACGCGCCTGTTCCACAGTCAGTACACCATCTCCCCACCGACCTCCGCATCGACACCCAAGGATATGGACTGGATTTCCGTACCAACCCCATGTCGGCGACGACGACCACTGGATCACCTCCCGACTTCGCTAGTCCCATGTACAGCAATGCCGGGCAGGGCGAGTCCACCCCTGTCGCCAGCATGGCGCCTCAGTTCAACGTGCCCTTCGTTTCAGCGGGATCAACTGATGCCTCAACAATGGGCTCTCACGCACCGTCTCCTTACTCCAGCATGAGCCCTGCAGACCCATTGATTGCAAATCACTCGCCGCCACTATCCAACATGTCACACAGCTCGTCTGATATGTATGGCTTCTCGCAAGACCAGCAGACTGGCTTCGACGACGGTCTCTCCATGAACGATATGTACTCGAAGCATCACGTCAACTTTGGCGTTTCGCACGACAGCCCCAGCTTCGAACTGCCGATGCATGGGCTATCTGCTCACCCTTCTCCCGGCATGGGTGATTTCTCCCACGGCATGGGTAACCTGGACGAGATCAACTCGCAGGGTATGCCAACTGGGTCATGAGTTTGCCTTTCTCTTTTTATCTCTTGATGTTTCACGGCCTTTTCTGTGCATGCGACGCTTATGCTTGTCGATGGGGTTCTTGGGTTTTTTACCTTGGGGGAATTTCTTTATTGTCCAAATTGAGAGGCGTTAGGTTTCGGTGTTTTGCAAAACCCTTCGACTGCTCTCTCTTTGGATGATTCTCGTCTCGCTGGCGATGGCTAGGGAAGCGATTTTACCTTTGTGTTTCTTGCGTGACATACCTGTCTTGTTGTATTAAAATACCCTTTCCATTCTGGGGCCGGTCCTGAAGCGATTTTTGTTTTGGTTTCTGTTTTCCCGGCTGTCCCGGTTGAATCCAGGACCTTTTTCTTCTTTTCTTCCGGTCAATTTACCATTCTTCATTTTTTTTCTCGTGACCGGATTTCTTTTTCTTACTTCTTTTTTCACATTTTTCATTTTCCAATTTTCATTCTTCTTTTACGTGGTTATGCCAAACAGACCGACTTGGACTGCAACTCCATTCCCCTCGATTTTCTTATTTCTTTTTCGTTTTTCATCGAGCGTAGTGCTAGACTTCTGTCTGCTCTGCACTCCCGTTACAATGGTCTGTTTCCTTATGGGTCTGGAGTCGAATTTTTGCACATGAGCTTGTTCTGTCGGCACCTATTGGGGTCTGAGATCCAGCCAGTGCTGATCCTTTGGCCTGCGCAGAGTTGTGATATCTTCTACGCCGAGACCATACAAGTAGGACAGCCCTGGGCTGGCGGTACACGAGTGTGGGGGATTAACGATAGGCTCTAAATCAATTCATTTTGTATCGCATACAGATCCGTGTAGATTGTAGCTGTAGTTCGGTCTCACTATACTTGATATGTAATAGTACATATTATACAAGGGTATCTTAAACATCTCATATCAACCCAGCATGCATCGCATGTCTACAACTGCTTCTGCTTCTCCCACCCCATCGGCAATGGAGCCGTAAATCCTCGCTTCTCCCTAAGGAACCATTCAATCCAAACCTCCATCTTCTCCAAAATATTCCGCTCCGGCTTCCCCTTCATCCCAACATCAAACACCCCCTCCTTACACCAAACACTCCATGACCCCATCATCCCCGCCATAAGTACATCGGTCCCAAGCCGATCACCAACAACAGCAATCTCATGCGCAGATTCAACAACCCCTCTCTCCCGGAACCACTGCACAACCTCGTCACCACAAAATGGCTTCTTTTCCGCGCCCGCCGGCAGGCGAAAGACAGGAATGCGCAGATGCGCAAGCTGCGTTTCTAGCTCGGAGACTTCGCCGTCGAAGCTCGCGTGGCTGCCGGCGCGGTTCGAGACGATCAGGATCGAGTGCGGGTTTGTTGTTTGGTTGAAAGGGGACGTTGGCGAGGTGCGGAGGGAGCATAGTTTGGCGAGGATCTGCGGTGGGAAGGATGTTGTTTTCGCCGCGCAGAGCGTGTTGTCTTTATCAAGGACTAGGGCGCGGATAGTGGGTGTGTGCGGTGGTTTTTCGGATGGTGTTTGGAGTCCTTTCTTTGCGCTGATCAGGTGTGGTCCTAGGTTCTCGGGGAGGTAGGTGAAAGTTGGGATTGTGAGGTGTGGGAGGAATTGGGTTGGTTGTTTGAGGAGGGTTTGTACGGCGTGGTTGAAGCCTCGTAGATTGGAATTGGGTGAGCCGGCCATGATGGTGGGATTTGGATTTTGATATAGAATTCTAGGAGATGTAGAGAATGCTATTGCAGGCGCATTATGTGGAGTTTTTGTGCTTTGAGGTTGGAGTTGTTGTTTGGTCGGGATTGAGAGAACCCAAAGCGGAGAGGATGAGCTTAGCCGCAAAACTCGCCTTTCTCTTGACGTCCACTTACTCCGACCTCATCACTGTCCCACCATCTCCCCACGATCACCCATTGTCTTGACTTGTCCCTTTCTTTGCGCGAGGGAAGCTTTCAGTGTTTATTTTCGACTCCTTTTAATCGCTTTCCATCCTCGTTCGCCGTCACACAGTCAAAATGGGCAAGCTCACCTCCACGATCGGCATTCCGATCAAGCTCCTCAACGAAGCGCAGGTGCGTTACATTCCACGATACTGCTATTCCGATTATTGGATGGGAAAGAAGGATGAATATATGGCATCGCGAAAATGGAAGCCATGGTGGATAGCGCGAGACAGAGGGGCTAATATCGTTTTCCAATAGGGCCATGTCGTGACGATTGAGATCACATCCGGAGTCGTCTACCGGGGGAAGCTTTTGGAAGGTCCGTAGCTCATTTCTGCTCGAGGTTGTTAGCATCTGCTCTCTATCCAGAGGGGCAGTCGATAAACAAGCTTCGGGGAGTGTTTCTTTTGCGCGGTCTCATGTACTGACTGCTTTTTCCCACAGCCGAGGACAACATGAACGTTCAGCTCAAGGACATCACCGTCACCGCTCGCGATGGCCGTGTCTCCCACCTTGACCAGGTCTACATTCGCGGCAGCCACGTGCGATTCTTCATTGTGCCTGACATGCTCCGGTACGTCCAAACCCTGATATCCAGCTTTTGGATCGCCATTTGGCGACCTGTGCATCTCCAGCTTCATCTTTACTGACTGTTCTCTCTCTTACAGTAATGCTCCCATGTTCCGTACACGAGGCCAGCGCGGGCGCGGTGTCGGTTTGGCGCGTGGTAAGGCTACGGTGCAGCGTGCGCGTGGACAGCTGCGCGGCCGGGGTTAATCGTGATGTGGAAAAGACGAAATCGCAGTTTCAAGGCCTCACAAATTCAGAGTGGTTGGCGTTTTTCTTTGTTTTTCTGGTTCTTAGGGGATTTCTTTTTCGGGCTTTGATCTTGCGAAGTCTTAAAATACTGGCTAGCATTTCTTCTTGTAGATGCTTCGTCGGATCACCATTAAATTTATGAATCAAAACCCGTCATGAATATCCTGCTTCCATAGATAAAAACGTGTTTGTGTATGTTCAGCTCATGGAACCCTAGGGGTATTGATATCCATTCGATGGCTTGGATGGTGGCTCATGTCCAAGGACCATATCAAGTGGAGCAAGAATTTCACCTCCGCGGATATGATCTAGTTAATTAATCCCTACAAACACGAGGGGAACACTCATTGGTCACCAGTTAAGAAATTTAGACAGCACAGTACTATGTATACATCTGAGCTGCCGCCGCTTTTATGAGGGCCCTCAGGGTCAGGCCGAGTAAATCTGAGCACGATCATTTCGATCCCCTATAAGCGGTGAGTTCAGGCCTTATCTGCGTGATGTGATAGGGCTTCTATAACCTGGCCTCGCAGAATGATTTGGTCCAAATAGGGCATTTTGATACTCCAACCAGATATTTAAAATTCATAAACCTGCCAGGTGTGCTCGGGAACGGAGTTAGGATTGAATTAGCACCGAATAACAAACCTTCTATATTCAGTATTGCCTATTAGGGCATGACAATGCAAAACGTTTACAACGAGACGATGATAAAACCCCATGAACGAATAGCTACTACCGCGTGATCTATTTTCGAATGAGTTGGGTAGATCCCTCTTTTCAGCCCCGGCTCGGACTACGAGTCCTCTTGTTCGGAACGCAGACGGCCTAGCTTGTATTGATCAGTCATAATAGTTCACGATCTTGGATATCACTGAGGCGTAAACGCAATTTGGCATTCGTGTTCCTAGGAATAACTATAGTAAGCACAAAGCATCAGTTATAGGTATGGATAGAACGTACTCGTACGCCACTGCAGTCCTCGTCATAGAAGACCTCAAAGCGGCTGGTTATACCAGGTGAGATAACGTCGAAATCATTTATGATCTGCGTTGTGTATTTGCGGTAAAGGGCCGCCAGAAGTGTGGTCATCTCCGCCATGGCGAGGCTGGAAAAAGTAAGCAACCGAGTATCGAATTGTTTATTGAAAAGGTGTCTTACTGCATTCCAATGCACATCCGTGCACCACTGGAGAAAGCCCAGAAGAACTTCTTCATTTGTGCAACGTCCTGGGAAGAGTCGAGCCAGCGGTCTGGGTTGAATGCCCGAGGGTCTCTGAAAACGTCTGCGTTCCGGTGCAGAACATATGGTGAAATTGAAACGACTGTATGGGCGGGGATCGGATAACCATCGATCGTGGTGTCCTTTGGTAGCGATCTCGGTTCTGATGCTGGGAGCGGTGCAAAGAGCCTGAGTGTTTCTTTGATCACTGCACTAACATATTCCAGCTTGTCGGTTACTTCTGCTCGTGGTACCCCGTCCGCGTTGAGGTCATTTTCTGATAGACTTTGAACTTCGTCGATGAGTCTCTTCTGAAACTTCCTATGTTCGGGCCGAGAAAGAGACCAAATTGCGAACATGAGGGTATCACTCGTGGTGTCAATACCGCCGTCGAGATGATCTGCGCATTCAGACGCAATATCAAAATCATCTAAACCGCCCTCTTTCTGACTGAGATGATGCTTCCAGAGTTTCGAGATAAGAGACGAATGTTTTGTCCTCTCCTCGGCTGAGGCATTAGAGAATAACCGGAAAACATTCATTGCGTATAGTTTGATGCCGGTGTATGGTATTGGCCCCTGCATCGGGTAGAACTGGCGAGCAATGCAGCCCATTATCCCTGTCTTGGAGTAAAGCCAGACAGTGAATTTCGGGTGATGGACCGTAAGCCACGAAAGCTTGCGACTACCAGTAGCCATTATATCGCGAAGAAGAGCACGGTCTTCTTCCACGCCGTCGAGACATGCCGTTTCACCAAAGTCGCCATAGACGAACTCCGTGATGTTGTCCAGGGAGAAATAATGCAACATGGGAAATATGTCGGTAGATAAGTTGTCTCTCTCTCTTTCCAAAAGCTCAATGAACTTTTTAACCTTGGTTTCAATCATATGTGCGGTCTCCCCTTTCAGAATTGTAGATTTAGCGTAGGCATTGGCGAAGATCTTTTTCCGTTCGCCATGCTGTTTCACTGCACTAAACGAGAACATGTTCTGGCGTCCGTATGCTGAAAACATGTGGTAGAACTTGGTTCTTTCGAAACCACTCCCGGCTCCATATATTGAACGCAACGCGGAAAGACTGTTAAAGGTCACCTCGTTTGGTCCCACGCGGACGACTGGGCCATATTCTTCATGAAGCGCATGGAGTTTACGGGTGCGTGTGCCCTGGTAGTCTTCGGAAGCAAGTCGCCATTTCGTCAACGCAAACGATTTGGGCCCTGGGATTCGTGCTAAGGGGCTGAAGAGCAGAGACCGACAGATATAATGGACCAACAAAGCCATGCTGATTGCACCAATGGCGGCAATGGTGACAGACATATTGATGCTACCGATGCTTGTAATGTAGACAATTTTACGAATAGGATGACGATGACCAAGAGCTGAAGAGACACGCCTCTACTTTTTGATCTTTTCTCGATTTTCAGAGCAAGCCTCGAACATAGATTGTAGAAAGAGAACCGGAATAGTGGGTAGCTTGGGGTAATGAATCGCCATTACATTTAGTTAAAGTTTATCATCTGGCAAGAGTCAGCGAGTTTTATACTATTCGTCCAGCATAGCCCAATGCGGGGCCACTAGTCTGGTCATGACAAGGCGCGCCCTATAATGTACAATAGAACTGTGATATGAGACATGTGCAGATCAGCAACAAGGGCAATAATCTCTGGATTTTCTATAAGAACCAAAGTTGATTGTAAACCAACTTGGGTTGCATGTATGAATAGCCTGCTACTTTCTCTCGGAAATAAACACAATCTTTCCTTTAAAATACATATTATAAGCGCGAGGGAACTGTATGCCGTCTCTATTCCCACTGAGAACCATCTCGTCCACCTTGCTTATATATTTACCCCGCTTTTTATGTTTGTTCCGATCTAGGACTCGACTGCATCGGCCATGAAGCTCTGGGACGAAGAACTAGGCTCGCGACCTGGAAACATCTCATGACTTCCTGAAAGCAAGACAGGTTTGGGATGTCGTTTCGGGAGAATTCCGAGTCCAAACTAACGGTCAGGTGATCTTCTAAGTATAATATTGCCCCTTTGGGTAATGTATAGCGATTGGAAACGATTGGTTGCATGTAGTGATCGAGATATCTAACGTCTATAAGACCTTGGATTAAATCAAGTCCATCAGCCTGGTATAGGGATATATAGTGATGTATTTCCCTATATCTTGTCTGAACCTCCTCGATTATCAGTCTATTCAAAGGCCATCCGCAACTCTATCAACTGGCTTATATTTACTGAGTTGACTCACACATAATATCTCCTGGGCTATTTCTTGACGTGACTTCTATGCGTTAAGGTCATGGCTATTCCAATGCTTAAGGAAATGCGAGAACCAGAGCACTATGTCCTTCCGCCAACTGATCACGTTCCGAACAGTCTAATGCCAATACTAGTTTATAGAAATGTTTTGCCCATTCCCAGAACTGTGAAAGAAGTGCAGGAATTTGTCGAACACCATGGATGGGCTCGACAAGTGAGTACATAACTGCCACCTGCTTGAGTGGAAATACAGTTTCGATACAGATCCTAATAACAAGCATTTAGGGCATTGTTTGGCCCGCTATATATACCCGACATTTCCATCCTAATGTGCATGAATGCTATGGTACGCGATATCCTGACCCTTTTGTTATAACATCTAAACCGAATATATTGAGCATTGTTCACTCACTTGTTATAAATCAAGCCATTCTTTCAGGGTCTTCGCAGGTCTTAATGGGCGTCGGAGAGCTTGACGATGCTCGAGGCCACAAGCCAGAAGATCAAAATTCGAAAGACCCTGGGCTGATATTGACTCTTCGAGAAGGCGATGTGATTGTGCACCCAGCCGGTACGGGACACTCAAATATTTCCAGCGAGGGTCATTATCGATATCTCTCTTTTTTCCCAAAAGTGAGTGCCATATCCTTCCCTAGTCATTTCTTCAATATCTTATTGTAAGGATAATCGCCCTTGGCTCACTGTTCCGCTAATGCTAATAAATTTATTGACTTTTGGATTCCTTTCTAGGGCTCCCCTCACTGGATATCACTCAATGGTGATGATCGCATAGACTTGGAAGTTGCTCTGGCAAAGGTCATGGCTTTGCCAATTCCTCAGGATCCAGTCTTAGGTAAAGATGGATATTTGGTCGGGCTATGGAAAAAAACAAGAGATGTTTATTTTGAAACAGCAAAATAGTAAGGAAGAAATTACTGTAAAGTACAGGAATTCCGCCTTTTTGCCTTTTCCGATGTCGAAGCATTTATTTGGTATCAATAGTACTGCACTAGTCTGGCTATATACAGAGCAGTAAGTCTAAGACTAGGAATCTACACTGTAGATGCGAAAAAAGAAACAAGTGTAGATACAATGATGGAGAGATAAACGGGGGGGAGAGAGGGAGGGGGAGAGGACCGAGGGAGCAAACTATATATCTACTAGATCTGTCCCAACAGTATGGTTTAAATAATGGTCTTTCCTAGATAACCTCTAATGGAGTCAATCTCCTTTGGTTGCCTGCCGAATATCGACAAACTAAGTCAACTTATTTTACTATGTCTGCAACAAATTTGGCGATCACTTATGCGTCACATCGTATCATATTTCTCGCGCTTCCAGAACAGAGTCTTATCCCTGGCCATTGATCAGTGTTTATATTGCTTCATAACCCTATACCTTTTCTATATACGTCTCATCTTGAATAGTGTAGTCTGTAATGCTACTCGATAAACCAAGCCCACAGAGCCAAAAAAAAGAATATTCGATAAAAGATAGGAATTGTCAAGAATATACACACTAGAGTGTGAATGACAGAATTTTTGTTTACAAAGTCATTTTCTATCCTAATAGGAATTGTTAGGCGTTGTAGTAGTATCCTGCGATCAAGCCGTGCTCGATCTTACTCTGAGAATCAAAAAGCAGCAAGAGGTTAGCACTAAAATGGAAAGATTTCAACATTATCCGGTCGTGTTATCCACTCCGCCTTTTTTTTTTGTCGATGCGGGGGACAGCTAGCCTTCTCAGCAAACCATCTTCTCCCACCGAGCACTGCCAATGGACCGAACCGAGCACTATCTGATTCTAATTTCCTAAAGGACATCTGCATTGCGCCAAAAAAGAACCAGCAGCCATCATGACGTATTCAGCGCCCGCATCCAACCCTGCAAGCTCCGCGAAGCCCAAAGTGAAGAACATTGCCAACCCGCGCCGCCTCCTAATCCTCACACCAACCTCTCAATCCCTCACAATAATTCCCCCTCTCCTACACTCCCTAACCGGCGTGCCCGTCCTCGACCCACCGCAACAACCAGCCTCTTCACCAACCCCAACCACACCACAGCCAACCTCAAGCTCAACCCCCCCGCCACCACCAACAACCACCTTCGCCGGCTACACAACCCACAGCCCTCTGCGCCTCGAAACAAAATACTACACGACAGAAGTCCCTGTCTGGGTCGACGAGATCCCGCTCGCGATCCACGACACAGATGCACAAACCACCCCCACATCAACACCAACAGCCGAGCAATGGAAAACCGACTTCTTAAGCACGGAAGCTGAGATTGTACGCGAGGCTGTTGGGGCTCTAGTTGTGTGCGCGCATACTCCCAGCGATGCGACACCTCCACCGGGTTCTAATGCGAACGCAGACCCCGCTGAGCGGCCCGACGTACGCGCACTACGTGACCTGATGCGTGGTATTGGCGCTGTCAAAGAGCGCATTGATGAGGAGCGTGGCGGGCTTGGTGATGTTCCTGGTGTGTTTGTGTTAATTGGTGGGAGGAAGGATGCTGCGGGTGCCGGTGTGGGCCGGCGGGAATCCAAGGACCCCGATGCGGAGCTGGGGCTTGGTGTTGACGATGCGGATTTAGGTGGCGGGGAGATGGTGCCATTTTCGGTTGGGTGGTGGGAAGATCAGTTATTTGATATGGGGTTGCTGGGGTGGGAGGTTGTTGAATGGGATCCTAAAGAGGGTTTGGAGGTTGAGACGAGGAATCAGTATGGAGGTGAGTTACCGAAGCAAGCTTTTCTTCATCAGGAGTTTCGCTGTGGTAGTATTTTGGATTTTGGCTGACCTTATTCTATTACTAGAACGTGAGGGTATGCCTCGTATCAAAGAGGTCCTTGAGACTCATGACTGGTCTATGGTTGGAGGTGACTCCGGCTTTGACGAAGATAATGATCCTGACATGGATTCCGATGATGATCTTCAAGACCAATTATTAGGTTTGGGTGGCTCTCGTGGGTTTGGTGACGAGGTTCATGAATTAGAACGTGAAATGTTCGGTTTGCGTATGGCAATTGAGCGTGGAGGTGGCGATGGTGACGAGGATGACTCTGATCATGATGATGGTGAGGATGAAATTGATGTCGAAAGCATGGAGGCATTGATGATGCGCATGCAGGCAATCAAAGGTATGATTCTATGTTGATTTCTCGCGCTCGCTATAGTTGGCCGCTGTACTAACATGGCCAATAGATATGAGCTCCGAGCTGCCAGAGGGTGAACGGAAACGATTTGCTGCGAAGGCCGTACAGGATATTATGCGCGAGCTTTGAGATTGTTAGTTATTATACATAGATTCCCCTGGTTTACAAAAGTCATATGTAAGGTTTATGCTTTTTACTGCCTTTTCATTTTTCTAGCTAAAACTAAGACATCTAGAAGAATATCTGCAAATAAATCCATAATGGGATATAGATCCAGCACTGCCACAATTCGAGCCACACCGCCCTAAAATGCCGAGACAAAGATGGCCCGTGCGCTTCTCTGACGTCAGGATATTCCATCTTCCAAGGCATAACGCCAACTTGACAATGAGCTGTGTTTTGTGCATGGATCATCCTGGCTAGCTTATTGCTTGAGCTGATCTTGGCTTCCTACATCATCTTTTCTCCATACATATTCTCGAAACGCCGCTTCGTCATGTCTTGAATCTCCTACACCACACAACCTTATTCAATTCCCACGGTCCACAACATATTCTTTCTTATTTTACATGAGACGTGAATATAAACAATAACCAATTGAAAGGACAAGACGAACTCTTCATTTCAAAATGCATTTCCCGGCACGGAATTGCGCCCCCATCGTGTCGGCGGCGACGGGGAGGATACCACAACGTGGGGCCCAGTACGCCTCGTTGGGGAACATTGGCTCGTCGGGGCCAATTGGCTGGGCTAAGAACAACTCTGCCCTCTCATCTAGACATATCAGGTCATTCTCAGGGAGGTGGATCGGTAGGGGGATTGGTCTCAGAGCTTCTGGTGCATCACTAGTAACGAAGCTGAGATGTACTGGGCCGGCTGCAGTTCCACGAGATCATCTTGCATGGATTCAGATCAGGAAGTTCAGCCAAGCAGATCATACACAAATTTCAGGCGATAAACAGGAGACTGAAGAGCTTTTGGAGAAGTTTGAAGTTCAAGAGGGCAATCAAGAAGCTCGGCCTCAGCGGACGGTTCTTCGTGAGAATGGCCAAGTGGATGGGTCACCGGAAGAGCAGAAGTGGCCTGAAACGAAGACCAAAGGTAGGATGGCTCGATTATGATTGCTTTAAGTATCAATGCTGACTTTTACGGATAGGTAAAATGTTGACGACGCCATCGCGGCTTTTCAAGTTGATCATTCCTTTAACGACCATTAGCAATGAAGGCCATGATAAAGGTACATCGATCTTCGACAAATTCCAGGGCATCGTTTGGCCACCATTCTAAATGCCCATCATTCTAACAGCCCAATCAGAAATCGAACCAATAGCTATCCTAGTCCACCCTCAACAACCATTATCATATCTAGAGCGCCTGATTCAGTCAGAACTACCTCCAATCAGAGGCAATACAGATAAGCTCCGCCCACCAGCGATATCCTTCATCGCACTCCAGCACGATGACAACGCAATCAAGCCCAAAAAGCGAATCGAAGACGAGATCGACCTAGATGCAAGGGAAAACAAAGAAGACTTCATCCCCGGCAACGACGGCGTTGGCGGGAGCAAACCCCTCAACGGCCGCCGATTACCCACCGAACACCGCCGGTCCCGTGAAGAAGACGTCGAAACCTACAGCTATCCACGCAACAAGAACGGCACCCCGCCGCCCGACGGCGAACCCGAGCGTTTCGTGCGCTGGTCCCAGGCCACAGAGATAGGCGACTTTATCCGGGATGCTGCGCGCACGGGCGAGTTTATCGTGACAATCGAAGGCGCGCCGTCCGGCCTGAGTCAGATTCGCGTCACTGTGCCGTCGTTCAACGAGCGCACGTATTACCTCCGCATGCGACTACGCAAGCTCTCGCGACGCATCCAAACCATAGCGGGTGTGAAGGAGAAGTGTGATGCGTTGGCGCATCGGGGTGCGCAGCGGGTTGCGATTGGCGGGTTTGGTATTCTTTCCATTTGGTGGTTTACGGTTTACAGGTTGACGTTCGAGACTGATCTCGGATGGGATACTATGGAGCCTGTGACTTACTTGGTCTCTTTGTCTACTTTGATGGGTGGTTATTTGTGGTTTTTGTATCACAATCGGGAGATTTCTTACAAGTCTGCGCTGGATTTTACGATCAGTACGAGGCAGAAGAAGCTTTATCAGTTGCATAACGTTGATTTGCAGCTTTGGGGGTCTTTGATTGATGAAGGAAACTCCCTTCGTGGGGAGATTAAGAATATCGCTGCTGAGTATGATACTGAGTGGAATGAGCGGGCTGATGAGCAGGACAAGCGTGTGACGGAAGTCTTGAAGTCAGAGCGTCGGCAGAGGAATGAGAAGAAGGATGATGATGATAAGAATGACAGGGATGATGATTGATTGTTTTAATCTACTTGCCATTCTCCCTAATTGTATGTACTTTGCAATACATCGATGGTCTTCAAGTTTTATACTTCAATTATACAAAAGCAATCAGTATTAACAGCACTGGACATGAAGCGAAAGCAAAACAAAATCGCTGAGAGACACCCTCAACCCCAAAACATCATACCGTCCCATTGCGCACTGGATCATAGTACTTCTTCGGCTGTGTCGTCTCTTCCTGCCTCGTACGTTTGTCTATAAAACCCCATCAGCATCTTCTTCAATACAACCAGCCAGCAACTAGTCTAAGAACGGATAATACATACCAGACTCCGAACCCGCAGAACCTGTAACCTCCCCTTTCCGCCTATTCCGATTATTCCTCACATCCCGCGACCGAAAAACACTATACAACAACCAGCCGGCAACCCAATTCGGGCCGTATTCTCCATTCGTCGCCCCGCGCTCGAACAAGCCACGCACCAGCGGCGGCGCATTGTGGCAGATCTCTAATATCGCCCAGCGTTGGCAGTCAGGGCGGATGTGGTGCCAGAAGAAGGGGGGCGGGTTGCTGGGTCGACGCGTATGTTGTCGAGGAGGTTGGAGGTGTCGAGGTTCATGCGGTTGTAGACAATAATTGCTTCGTCCTAGTGGGTGTTTGTTAGGTGGGCTCCCAGGATATGTATAGTGTATGTGGGCATATGAAGATGGGAGTAGGAGATGGAAGAAGGTAAGATAAGTAGGTGTTGAAGGTCCGGATGGTGTACTGACTCGCATGGCGCGGTAATATTGCTCATGATGCGGGTCTTGTGGGTTTAGACCCAATGCATGCATAAATTCCTCTTTGGATACTCGAGGTCCGACGGGCATTTTGTTGGATTCCTCGATTGGATCGAGTGTATTAAATAGGGGTGTCGGTGTGTAGAGCGCTGTATATGCTGTGATTGATCGAAGAGTAGAAACCGAGGTTGTGTATCAGCCGTGAGATCAGGACCGAAGAAAGAAAAACAATCAATTATGAATGTGCATGCAAAATTGAAGAATCATACTCACAGCCTGCATCAAAGCCAGACTTTATATCCCGGGGCGTCTCCCATTCAAACAGATCTCAACGGCGCGGAAACCCATCTAACGGCCGTTGGCTACAAATTGCACGGCGCCGAAGCCGATACAATCAGAGATTCCTATACCGGAATGAAGCAGAGCGAACGGACAGCGCGAGACAGACACAGAAACAGACGCAATCAGACCAAGCGGGGAAATGGGGAAATGGGGCAAAGGGCAAACCCGCAATCAGATCGATATAACACAAGCACAAGGATCCGGAGCAGACAGGGATCTAAGGTGCTTCGAGGCTAAGACATCTTGTACCTTCAGATGGAAATTAGTATTGTTTCTTTTGTTCATGTATGGCCAACAAAGGGAATGATGGAAGATGGAGGGTACGAGTCCATTGCAGGTGTGTTTTCTTATTACTTTGGGGGTTTTTTTTGTCTATCCTGGCACTTATGATTATCTCTCCGGGATTAGACGCTACTGTACTTCTTGCAGGATTCGTGGAGTCAAGGTGGTACATGTACAATGTGCGTGTGGGAGTCACTGCACACCCGTTGATATCCAACCCCGGACTACATCAAACTGCGATCCGGACTGGGGTATTCCGTTTTTAGTGGGTTAGCGTGTGCAGGGTAAGTAAACGGTTGGGAACTAGTGGAATCTAGGGAATAGGGCTATGGCGCTGTGGTACGGTATTTCTCGGTGGGAAGTAGGCTGGGGGCATGAAGTTCCGATATGGCAAACGAGAGCGTGTGGAATTTACAGAGGCGAGAAAGGGAGGAAAAGAGAAGGGAGAGGGAGGTAGTACAAAGCCTGGTATGCTTTTTCTCTGCCGCTCGCTTGCCCCCTCGAGAAGACGTGCATCTTCGGACCAGAGGGATAAATCAAATCAAGCGAGACAATCGCAAACAGAGTCATCGTGGACCCAGCACTTGGGGGTCGAGGACTGAGCGCGAACAGTGCATTCTAATACATCGAGGACAACTTTCTGAGCTCAGGTCTACTATCCGAGACAGACGGGTAGAAGATATATGTATGCTTGCATGCATGAGAAAGGGATGTGTATTCGAGTTAGTTTGGATATTATATGATGCCCGGAGTACACACTACCGGATGCACGCCGAGATCCCCATCCGAACTAGCAACAGGTAGATACTCGACAGGGAGAGCTAGTATCTCGGTGTGCTAAGCTCGTTGCCACACATCTATACGCATCCGCAGTGAGGGAGACTGATACAGCTCTAGCATAACAGAATCAAACCTGGAAAACCACATTCGCAACCAAGAACGTCCTATGTGGAGAGCTAGGAAGATCAGACTGTACATCCCGAACTTGGAATCGAGGTCCACTGAAGCCCAACCTAGAAGCAAGCGAAACATTCAGTCACCCTTGCTAGCTGAAATTCAAGTCAAATAAGGCACCTGTGCCTACCCGTCGGCTTGCGGGCATCCTGCAGAAAAGAGAAAGGCTCGTTGGCCATGCCGTGTGACCTGCCATGCCGGAGTCCAGACCAGGATGGAATTGAGCAAAATTCGACAGACCGGAACCCAAGTCGGTGCTGTTGCTTGCATCTGTATCGACTTTTGAATTTTAGATGGTGAGCGCATACTTGCGTCCCGTTGCGGGGAAAGGGGATCGATCCGGTTGGGAGATGGCTGGACTCGATTTTAATTTTTCTCGTTTGTGATGGGTGCATATGCAATGGTAGGATGGTTGAATGGGACGAGCAACGTGGCAGCAAGTATGGTGGATTGATGTTTGAATTTGAATCTGTCGTTTTGAGCTGACTCTGAGCGACAGAGTGTCTTTATAACTCGATGGGGTTGAAGACGCCGTTGCGGCTGCTATATGTGCTAAAAGCTAGTTTGGCAAGATGGCGACCAGAGCAAATAGATATATCATAAAGAGAAAAGTGACACGTAATCCTTGATAGGAGATCCTACCGTCCGATCTCCAGCTCGAAGGGGCTTTTTCTCACTAGCGCTGCGATTAAAGAACGGATGTCACATCGTGCACAAGGTGAGGGACAGTCAAGGTGGATCATATGCGCACGGCGAATTGAATGACACTGCATAATCCTACCGCTGCATTGCATACTAGCACAGAATTTGAGAGAGAGCTTCGGTTGGGACGGCCAGGCCATCGAGATAGACAGATATGAAGAGTATCTGTATCTGCATCTGCCGTACTGGATTGTGACATGAGAGTTATGGAGAACGGTTCCTAAGGGGCCAAAGAACTCTAGCTAGTCAAACCAGTCAACTTCAGCTCCAGCAATATGTGAGCGTGCCGTTGGATGTCACCACCGTTGCACCATCTCCATACTGCAGGTCCCCGGTACTCATTTACCATTCGCTATTGGCCATGCAAGAGCGGACGTAGACGCAGACACGGCAGAATTTGCTGTCAGTTGGACTAGATAGCGGAAGATAGGATCTGTTGTTTTGAACATACTAATGTAATGTGCAGCATCCGGGACTTGTGAAGCACACACCACACACACTCGCGCCAGAACTTTTGACTCGATCGAATTTCACCAGTTGATGGTTTCTATCTTGAACAGATAGCCAAGTGAAGAATATGAGAAAGACTGAGTGTGGACAGACGTCTATTGAATGCGGCAGATCATAGTAACCTGTCAAGCGAAGACACCGAGATTAGGATCTTCCCGCATGGGGCAAAGTATATATTAAGTTCCAAGGTTCCCCACGTAAGTGGCTGAAGGTAAAAAGCTTTTATAGCGCCACTTCTCGGGATGCCTGTGAGATTGGCGATCTGATGAGGCAAAGTTCTCCTGTCTGCGCAATATTGGAGCTTGCTCAATATTCAGGTACTTTTGTTTACTTTGCCTAGACTTTGACGTCATGTTATATCGGCTACTTCTTGTTACACGCTCAATACTGACGCAATGTCTACTATGCGAGGATCGACGAAATGAAAAGCGTAGGTTATAAAGCAAGAAAACAGGGCCTGACAGAGGCACTCGGATTTCCGTATGTCGCTATTGTTCAAGACTCCTCGGAATCGTCACGATTCTCGCGCCTGCACTTACGTGACAGACCAGGAATATCCGTTTCCACACCAGTGTCCAGACGGGAACGGGAGATATGGTGGGGCAGGTTGTTATGTACGTGTCGAAAAGGCCAAAAAGGCCAGGATCGGAGGGAATGGGAGATAAGAGAAAGGGAGTAAAAAAAGGGCAAAGGGGAAAATGAAAAAGAAAAGGCCATTTGCCATGCTCCATCCGTCGCTAAAAAGAAAAAGGGGAGGGAGGGATATCAACCAGCCCACATGACCGCTTATTTCGAGGCTTCCTTAGTGGGCTCCTTAGTGGGCTCCTTAGTGGGCTCCTTGGTCTCCTTGGGCTCCTTGACCTCCTTCTTGGGCTCTTCCTTGGGCTGTTCCTCCTTCTGCTCCTTGACTTCCTCTTCTGGCTTCTCTTCTTCGTCCTTCACTTCCTCGCCGTAGTATCGGCGAAGGAGCTTCTCAACCTTGCGGTATTCAACCTTGACTTCATCCAGAGTCTTTTTGATAGCCTTGAGACAGACCTCGGTGTCGGGTTCGTCAATGAGACCGGTCTCGTCCTTGTTGGCGCCGAAGTGTTGGATCTTCTCACAGCCGTCCTTGACCTTGATAAGGCCGAGTGTGGCCGATGAGCCCTTGAGGAAGTGACCGAGAGCAGATAGTTCATCGAGGTTCTTGTCATCTCTGTTGGATGATTAGTGACAGTACAATCACCCGAATTTATGCAGGAGATGACTCACATTTCCTTCTGTATCTTCTTGTAGGTATTCTCGGCCTGGTCAAAGAAACCGTACACAATGCTCTTGCTGAAATCGCGATCCTCCTCGTCATCGTCCATCTCAAGGATCTGTTCGAATGTGCTCTCGTCAAGAATTTCCTTATAATCAGAAAGCTTGGGCGGGCCCTGCTTGACCTAGATTCGAATGTCAGGTAATGAATTTCGTGACGGACCAAGAAGTACTTACCGGCTCGGCCTTCTTGGTATCGGTTGGTGCCATGGCTGTGTATGTGTGTGTGCGGGGATGCTTAAAGGAGTAGGTGGGAGCAAGCTAGTGCGCTGCGCAGATCGTCACAATCGTTGGATGAAAATAGGGTTTATTTCTCCGGTCCGATTTCCAGCCAATCTAGATGGAATACGAGAGAAGCTCTGTTTGCAAATCACAGTTAGCTCGAATTCATTCAACAGATCCAGATTTTGGATAGATAGAACAATGTGGCAAATCAATAGATGAGGTCCCAAATGCAAAGATCAATGATGATACCACAAGGACGTCAGAATCACAATATCTGCACACAGCGTATATGTCGTCTTACAAATCCAGTATGGTGTTACGGATCCAGGTGCCAAGGTAGCAAGGGAGCTGGTAACGGGGACAATGGTGAGCGGCTCCGGGGTCTATGGCCAAGGGGAATAGGCTGGAACCGAGGCGAAATACAGCCACCAAGTTGAGTAATCAAGGCAGTGAGTGCCGGGTAGAGGTGGAAAAATCACAATGGAGTCGGGGGGGGTATAGGGGGGTAATTCGATACAAAGCAGAGTTTGGAGGGGGGGGGGGGGGGAAAGAATTAAAGCAGATTGTGGAGGTATATGTGGTGAATGGAACAGACAGGGCCATTCAGCGCATATACTCGAACGTGATCCAGTCACGGCCTTCTAACCAGGGACTAGCGCATCATAAGAGCTGCAGCCCCAAAAGCCAGGGTCTCCACTTGACAGGGAATTAAAGGGAAAAAAAGGAAGATATGCAGAGAGGGGCAAATAGAAATGTTCATCCCACCTATGATAATTTTTTTCTTCTCGTTTTTTGAGACCACGTCCCGAACAAGGGCGACAAGGGAACACACAATCGGTAGATCCCTAAGAGATAAAAAGGAAAAAGGTGAAAAGAGAAAGCAAAAAACACGTGCGGAAGAGAAGGGGGAAGTCAAAGAGACGAGAAGAGAGAGGGGGGAAGAGAGGAAATCGGAGGGGCGGAGAAAGAGAAGGGTGGGTAGGTCAATTCCAAAGGAACCAACTAGAGGATGTTGGGATTTTGCTATGATTTGGATGGGAAAATCGGAGAAATTAGAGAAAATAGAGAAAATAGAGAAAATAATTTAATCATTCATCTTCACTTGAATATTACTATGATATATATAAGGAAATAACTATCGTCATCGGTGTACATTGCTCTTCGTCGCCTTGGCATACTCGGGGGAAAACATGATTGTAGAACTAGTACATTATATTATTAGCTACAATCTATACAATGGGTTCTAATTGGATTTGATTTGAAAACGTGATATTATTTTTCCTCAACCGATGACTCCAAAAAAAAGCAATTCTCGACATACACGACTAATACAATTCTTGTACTCCATACAACATAGATCTTTTGACTCTATTGGTGCCTTTTTTTGGTTAAATCATACCATTATCATCTTGAATTTTCAGCCGCGATCCTCATAAGAACTGTTATCTCTGGATCAAATTCCTCCGGGCTCCGTTTATGAAACCAGTGGAGTCCAACCGTGGCATCACCTCTCCAACTGATGGGTCCACCGAGAAGAAAAAGAGAATGAACGGGATAACCCCTCGACCTGTAAGTATACTGAATAGTACAGGTTGAGTGGAGGCCTAGGGTAAAAAAAACAACCCAAAAAAAACCACACGTTTGCTGACCGCAAAAGACTCCTATACTCATCTGGCAGCGGTACGGTAGGGGGGCTAGCAAGACATCATCGGGTCGCCGATCACATGGAACGTCATTTGGTCTTTCCCAAAGCGAACCCTCGGACGGTCACACGCGGAACCATTTGGGAAACTTCGGATAGCGATGGCCCTTTTTGCCTTTGGGGTCCCTGGGGGCCATTCTTTTTGAATGCAAAAGAGCAGGACTTTTTCATGACCCGGTCAGTATTGCTTGGAAATCTAAAAAAAACAGAAAAAACACCTAGTGACCTAGTAGACTTTTAGCCGCAAGGAAAAAAGAAAAAAAAAAGAGAGAAGACGTAATAATCCCGGCTCGTACAGCAGGGAAGCATTGCCTGGGGCCGAATGCGCAGAGATAACCTGATCCAGTTGGCCTGGACCCTCAAGGACCGTGTCCAATAACTCGGGACGCGTTCGTTCTGTGTGTTGCATAGGTCTCTCATCTAACGTACTCGGTGACAATGAGTTGAATGTATGAGCCCAGAGCTCCACGGCTCGGTTTTTTTCTTTCCTCTCTCAGGGAAAATGGGGTAATATTGCTGGGCTAAGACACGAGGGATTATGCTGCCCCCGATGACGATGGGTGTTTTGGTGTTTTTCTTTCATTGCTTTTTTTCCGAGCTGGCTCGACGGTTCCGTTTCCTAGAAAAGGACTAGCGTAGAGATCGATAGTTAAATGTTGAAGTCAAATCTGTTCACACTCGCGAACCGCAGCTATCTTTGTTTATATAGAGGAATAGGGGGCATTTCTGTATCTCCTTTTACTCTGGTGTTCGTGCGTGGTGGTTGGCTCTAGCACACTCTTCATTACTCTCCACCAATGAGAGGATGCGATATTAGCCATGACATCATATGATGGGGCCGTATTGCAGTCCATCCAGCCGCTGATGTCATTTTGGCGTACCGGCAAATTACGCCGGTTACGTCAATTACATCAAATTACATACATCCTTTACATTCTCCAGTGCTGGTATACCCTCATTCCTACAAGGTCTATGCGCAATTTTACATATCCTCACTCCCTTGTTCTCGGCTTAAGATTTATGTATGCAGCATGGCTTAGCCTGTGATGTCAGTGCGCATACCTTGAACCGTATAACTGAGAGAATGACTGGAGTACGGAGTACAAATGCCCAGACATGCAAATTTTATTGAGTCCAAACTCAACACTGGAGAATCAACTGGACTATAGATTGAAATAGATTTAGTAAACGTGGGGTGTCTTTCACGCTAAGTCCACGGGTTTCCCGACGAACTACGTAAAACTATCCGCTAAATCTCAAATCCGAGCCATCACATTAAATCCCTCCAATACCCTACCAAGCCCGTCAAGTCAAAAATAGACCAGACTAATGTTTGTTGTCGGCAATACGAGATAGCAGTCTCTTGCAGTAGTCCAGACTAGATCATGCAGTTTACAGCACGGGATCAGCTAGTCTTTGTATCCCTGGCGGCCAAGAGCGCCTCCAGGGGAAGCCATCCGCTTGGCTCCCTGTTCATGCACTCTCGATTGCCTTGGGCGAATCACATCAAATATATTCCTCGGCGAGAGCTTCTGAAAATGGTCCACATAGTCCAGACTTACAGAGAAGCTATCATCGGGTCCGACAGCCCGGCTACGGATTATCTTCGGAGGGAGGAGCAAAGAGGCTGGATGAATTGGAAAGGTGATTGGTCAGGCATAGCATGTAGCTTCCGAACTGCTAGTAGTATTAAATAGACTGATATAATTTCAATGAAATTATGCATAAATCGACCAAGAAACTCAATAGACAACAAAATAAAGATGTTCTATACCCCAGATCCCAAACACGCTTGTTCTCCACAGCTGCTTCGCGGGCTCTTCCAGAATGCTTATGTAAGAAACCGGTGACCTCGGTCCGTTTTTTTGTTGATCGCGAGCTTCCCAACCAAATCAATATTTCCAGTGCTCCTCCATCTAGGGCAACACCATCACCAATTGCCTCCACGAGACCAACGAGAATTAACTCGGGTCAAAAATGTCATCAGCCAAAACATCAAGCGCCCCGCGCTCCGGTTCTTCGGGCCTAACAAAAGCCTACCTCTTCGCCTACAACACCCTGAACCTCCTTGCCTGGGGCACCTGTGTCATCTACACGGCATCCCTCCTCCCAGCCCATGTCTCGACCAAAACTCTCCCCAGGGTGTTCGGCCAGACTTTCTCTCCGCTACTGCTGGCCACACAGTCCCTCGCCCTGTTGGAAGTCGTGCACAGCGTGGTAGGCCTCGTGCGCGCGCCGTTCATGACGACTGCCATGCAGGTTTCCAGCCGACTTTTGCTGGTGTGGGGTATTATGGCGCAGTTTGGTGGAGAGATCGTTGGTGCTGGACGCAATACCCAGCTGGGTGATTTTGCCTATCTGGGGTGTGTTTTTGCTTGGGGAATTACAGAGGTTATTCGTTATGGATTCTTTGCTATTACCTTGTCTGGGAACTCGGTTCCGAGCTGGTGGACTTGGTTGCGGTAAGTCTTTGATTCCCCCCGCGTGGCTACCGCGTTCAATGTGCTGATGAGTTTCGCGTTGACTAGATACAACACTTTCTACATTTTCTACCCCATTGGTATCTCGAGCGAGTGTGCGCTTATCTTCCAGGCCCTTGGTCCTGCTGGCGAGCTGAGCCCGCTTTTCCGTTACCTTTTGATTGCGATTCTCGTCATCTACGTGCCTGGTATGTTGCTCTTCTACACCGTTCATATTATCGGTTACTGACTGCCTACCAGGGTCTTATATCCTGTACACGCACATGATTACCCAAAGACGCAAGGTCATGCGCGGCAAGAAGAGAGCCGATTAAACAGCTCAGCCACGTGCAACACAACTAGATCTGATTCAATTGAGTGGAAACGAAAAGACGACCTGGGTTTTTAGCCAGTTCGATGTTCAAAATGAGTACTAAGGTCCGTCATATTTAGGACCCGGGGAGCCCTGAGGGTGCGGGCATGATTTTATTTCTGTGTTCAATATTTACCAGAGCCCGCTTTATAGACATGATCTTATTTTGAGCAATTATTAACTTCCCTTTTTGGCTCAAGGCTACTTTGTTCTCCCTCTGCCAAAAAAAACGTAATATACGCTCATTCCACGTTAGATTCGATCAATAATGAATAAAGAACGGTAACTGCAAGAAGTTAAACTAACTTTAGACCGTCCGTAGTGAAGCATTTTTCTCAGGGTGATTCTCATTTCCTTCCTGGTGCCCTAGGCCATCTTGTTCGGATTCCCACCGACTAAGCACTGCAACTTTTCCTCGTGAAACAATTCGTTTTTGTGGAGTCAAGTCAAAACATTGGCGAAGTAGGCATCGTCGTCCCTATGGGCCCTTACAGTAGATTACGTTTTGTTCCATGACGTAGCGCTCATAATGGCAGAGACCATGAGGATATTGATTTCTGATGTGTACCACCTAAGGGAGGCTACTTGCGGAAAGGTAACAAGGAAATAAGAAATGTTATCAGATGCAAAGACGTCGTAGTCAGGTTATTGAAAATGACAAACCAAGACCGAGGAAGCGGGACCAGGTAGAAGGTGCCACTCGGTTGGGCTATAGCTTCAAGCCAGGCGTCATGTATAGATTGTCCTCAAGGAGGCATATACCTGGTTGAAGGAAAGGTCAGCGGAAAGCAGACCATAGCATCCAAGGTGAGTGCGATTCACCTTTTTGGAAAATCAACGGCACTTGAAGAAAAGTAAGGTTTGATGAGGCAGGAGTGTTGTCTGGTAAGAAAGTGTAGCTAGACATGATGTCGCGTTTGATGGCGCTGTACGGAGGAGAGAGGGGGGAAGACTTACGTCCAAGGTGGGGAGTTTGAGAAATGGCCGACCAGAACTTGTTGAGAGTCTCAGTTGATTCTAAGTAATTAACATAAAATCCAATTGGCGTATCAAAGGCACAGCCAAAAAGGCAAGAAAACTGTTCTTTGATCAAACACCTATTTGACTTGCAACAACCACCAAATTTCTTCTCGCTGAAATATCAAACTGCCAATCCTTCCTTAATTCAACTTCTTGGTCCCAGCCTGCACTGGGCGGCCTTCACGACGACGATATACCAGGTAGCCATAGCTGCCAAGGGCGATCATAGCTATAACGAGGAGGTTACCTTGTTACATGAATCGTCAGCTGGGTGTTTTGGTAAATAGTCGGACATCAGAAACTCACTGGTAATGAATGCCCCAACTCCGCCTGCAGCTTCCAAACTGCCCTTCACCATATGCTGTAGCACCTTGGGAATGCCGGCAAAGAAGTGGACAAAGGCCATGAGCAGCTGATACCCGGTATCTAGCGTGCTCTTGATGACAGAGAATATCACCTCAAATATGGAGGTGACGAGGTCCTTGATGGAAGTAATAATTGACGCCATTGTTTCCGAGAGAATTTGTAGCAGCTGTTCGTGCGAAGATTTCGATAGTAACAGTAGTGGTTTACAGGTAGCTTAGGAGAAGGTGTTCTGAATTCAAAGGGGCACTAAATACATTCTCAGGTCCGATGACGAAGTATGCTATATAACAGTGTTTTGGTGAACATACTGGCACACAGCAGGATTGGACGACATGGTTTTGTGTTCTTGTTTTCGCCTCTGCTGCCAGTTTTGCCCAGTGATCACTGATGACGTAACTTACACAGCTTCCCAAGGTCCACGGTTGACTCCAAGTGAGTGTTCAAGGTGACAGATTCAATTGAAATCAGTAGAATGACCTATAGTCTTCAGTAGAGGGTGAACAATATGTAGAACCTTCTTGGCTTGTACATGGAAATTACATATTCCCATGACGTCATATATGGATGGGTCTGATCAGACAAATTCAGTTCCCAGATTTCCAAGATCCCAAGATTGCTTTCTGGATTCGAGGTTGATCATTTTAGGCGTACATATTATTTCTATGAAGTGGCTGTTGCGAGTCAAATAGGTATGTAATTACGGAGATAATAGAGGAAGTTTGTATGCACATTGCGTGCAAAGTTCAAGATATATTTCATCAAAGTAATTCATTGGCGTAAGTCATCTTAATATTGTACAGGCAGAATCACCTAAGCGCTAGCAAAAGTGGTATCTCATTATCCCAATAGTCAAATTTCCGTGAGCACCCGTTTAGTGCTTGGTGGCCTCTGTATATCATTAGCATTGATTCCACGCCACAACCTTGTGGAGTTCAATATTCTTACCCTTGTGGACATCAGCCTTGGTGTTGTGGGATGCCTCGTCCTTCTTATCGACAAGGGCGTCTTTTGCGGCGCTGGCTCGGCTGCCCAAGCTGGCATTGGAGTCCTTGGCAACGCCCTTGTTGGCCTCCTTGGATGCCTCAGCACCACCGCCCTGGACAGTCTCAGCGACGTAGTTAACGGCGTTCTGTATTCAGATATTAGTACTTTTGAAGACAAATACGTTATCCAGAGACATGATGATGCGAACCTTGGCGGTCTCCATTATGATGTTGTTGGAAGGTTGTTGGAAGGTTGTTGGAAAAAGTTTGGAAGTTTTGAATGTTTGTTGATATGAAGGCTTGGGGATTGTATAATGAATTAAGTGAATGGCAGAAGCAGGAGGGGCTTCTTATAGTAAATGGCAGGGTGTTTCGTAGTAGGGTTTATACTATGATGTCATAGAACAAACAAGAACCAACTAACTAGCCAGCTCGGTGATGTAACAAAGGAAAAATTACTTGTTCTCACATGCATCATGACAGAAAAATCCACTTTATTAACTTGTTCTATATTGTACAATAGCAATGTAATCTAGGTTGGGGTACATTGTTAGGCCATTTCCTTGGAATTGTGGGGGAACAGATTAGTATTACACTCCTATGATGCATGTTCAAAAGAACTTTGTTAATTTTTGCCATCAAAAACAGGTATTATACAATTTGAACAACGTAACTATCAACCTCACTAGTATGTTGTGACTGGTGAATCCTTGTGTTTAACCTCGGCTATAGCAGTCTAACAGCATAGAGCCCGAGTTCAAACATTCATTCAGCAAGGAGCACAAAATAACTATACTATATCACTAGATAACGTATTTCACTACCGAGTGGGCCACCACTACCGAGTGGGCCACCACTACCGAGTGGGCCACCCCATCTAACCTACCAATTTTAAATGCATTTATCTCAACCAAAACGCCATTAAATTAATTCAACTAACTAAGTGGTCTATCTGGACATGTTTCTCTTCTATGCCCTGGCAATCTGCATATTCCACACCCCCGGGGGGGCCGCGTACGTGGCTGAATAGTTGATTCTCTAGGCATGCCGGGGCCGGGGGGAGGTGCTTCAATTGCTTCTTGTTGCTGCATAATTAATGCAGAGGCTTCTTGAACTGAAAGGCCTTCTTCGGCGGGTATCTGCTTTCGGGATCGAGTACGCTTTTGCTTCTGCTTCTCGTTGGCGGCGCGTAATTCCTTGTTTTCTTTGGCGAGTAAGATAGCACCTTGCATTGTAAGACGGAAGCCTTTCACAAGCTGGTTTAATGCACGATCTGATGGGCTAGGCGGGCTTCGAGATCTTGTACGAAGTAAAGCTTTGATTGATGAAGCCTGACGACGTAGATCTTTCTCTGTAAAAGGGGTTTTTGGTGTAAAATTCCGGCTTGATTCACTACCCCGGCTAGCTGGGGGGTTGGAGTTCGAAGCCGAATATTGAGCTTTGAAATCACTCTCTCCGGTAAAAAGGGGACTAAACCGGCTGCTCCGAAGCTATTTTTAATAGTCTCCGATTTAAAAGCTTCAATTCGTGCGAGGGGGTATGCTTCGAGGAAGTCAAGCTTATCGATATGGTTGATCCCGTTCCGCATTTTGGTTTTAACCATCCGACCGTACGATCGTTTTAATACCGCAAAACAGCTAATATCCAGAGGTTGTAAAAGATGAGATGAATGTGCTGGCATACAGATTGGTATCACCTTATTTTGCTCACAAATTTCGTCAAATTTAGGCGTTAAATGACTTCCGTGGCCGTTAAGTACTAGAAGCCGATACCCCCCTTCGTACGCGCAGAAGTACTAGGAATAAAGAGCTTTTCTAGCCAACGGAGTCTAATTTCATCAGAGGTCCAGCCGTTAGGGCTTACTTCGAAACGCCAGTTCTCCGGAAGGCCTTCGAACCATGATTTAAGAAAGACTTTGCCTTTAAAAATCACACACGGAGGGAGGGCCCAACCTGAAGCATTCGTACACTCAATTGTAGTCACCCATTCACGATTTCCAGGTTGTAAAACTCCTCTTCGACTAGGTAAATCACTTCTCGTAATAACCTTCATAGTTGAAACCACTCCCATAGCGAAACCGGTCTCATCGAAGTTATAGATATCGTCGGGGTCGATTCTAAATTGAAGGATTGTCTTTTGAACCAGATTAAACCACTCTTGAATGATTTTCGGGTCTTCGCATTTCGCACGCTCGTAGTTATACCGTTTTGAGAATCGGGAGGAGAGGAGAGGATGCCGTTGTATAAATTTCGTAACCCAGTTTTCGCCGACCGAAAGAACCGGGGTAGTTCCACGCTTTTGAAGAAGAAGATCCGCCATTTCTCGTACCATAGAGTGCCGGGGGGCCCCTCCACGAGAATCCATAGAGAGTATCCATTTTTGAAGAGATTCCTCCTCGAGTTCTGTTAATATATGACTATTGGCGCGTGTTTCAGGACGAAAGGTATCACCAGCGAGGCGGCGTTGTAAGGTAGAGCGGGGGACTTCGAAACGGCGCGCCACTTCACGAATTGAAGAGATTTCTTGATTCTTAAAAGCCTGGATAGCTAGTAAGATCCTACCCTCTTGCTCTATTGAATTTCTAGAGCGTTGAGAGCGAATTGGTGGCATGGTGGGTGGTTGAAGAAGAAGGGGTTAAATTAATTGACGCGTTTTGGATAGGTGGCCCACTCGGTAGTGGTGGCCCACTCGGTAGTGAAATACGTTAACTATGACCTTGACTATTCCTACGGGTTCGAAGCAATGCAAATACTATTACATAGTAGAGGGTAATTTCTGTCATATACGGCAGTATATCTGTAACTATATTTGCTCGTATATGGATATGATGAACATAAATTGTAGCCTCCTTGTGTCACGAGAGACAGGATAATTCCCTTGACACGAGCTGTCTTTTCCAGGTTTCTTCAATCAGACATGGATTTCAAAAGATACATTCATGGATAATAAGCAAATATAAGATTTTTCTGACTGGCAAGATAATCATCTCAGGACTAATATTCTGTGCTAATGCTCCGCGTTGGTATACGCGCTAGCCCCCTCATCTTGGAAACTAATCGGGCTTAATCACCGCGGTTATGGGATGTGATGGTCATCAGATAATCCCTGTTTAGGAACCCACTATGTCATACTCGCAGCGGCCCTTCTAGATCTTCTAAGTCGATATTAATTTGAAACAGACCCCTGCAGTAATCTTTGGAGCGTAGCGCCCCCTGAAGCGCCAATGCACATCTATCAAGTTCTGAGAAATACAAAACGCAATTGTATGATAGTGAGCTAATCAACTTCCAAGATTGAGATGTTTTCTCTACTTCAATATGCAAACTAAAGGGGCGGGGTTGTAACACGCGAGCACATCCGAGATTGATTTAATCGCCACTCTTTTGTGGAAATACTATTGTACATTAAATCAATTCTTGTTGAGTTATCCTAAGACGCATGTGGCCACCATTCCCTTGCCTACCAAAATAATAACAACTGCCTTAACCACCTCAGTATACACAAACTTAAAGCCCGTAGCAGTCTCACCCATGTTCGCCTTATCAGCACATGCAGAACATTCCGAAAACTGGACCTAACCAAATCTCACAGTATACCAAGTCATCAGCTACATCAAGATTCTCCGTTATTGATCTACTCCTCATCCAACCCAGATTCGTTGCACAGAGGCATTGCTTGCTTGATTGCTTTGCTTGCTCTGGCATTTTTTTTAGACTTCCCCTTTTTGCTAGTCGCGTTATATAGCGAACTATCCTGGCTCTGGGTTTCTTTTAATGAAATTGTTGAAATCGATTAGATACACATGAATGAAGTAACAAGAAAGGAGGCTTGAATTAGAAAGTCCGATAGGTATCATTCCTCTCTCTCTAGAAGGTAAAAAAAATGAGGTAACCGGCGACTTCTGAGGATATTTTCAAATTACAGTAAACTCGAATATAATACGATTGTGTAAATGAGGCTAGCTGGGTCCTGTCAAGGGTAAAAGCCTTTTGTTTTTCTTATAAATACGATAGCTACATTTCGGCTGTATCTAAGCGGTCTAGGATATCCTCGGACCACAAGCTCAGTCTAGCTCTTGTTTTCAATGAATAGCCCCAGTATCAGGTTTCACAGTCCAGCGGGGCTCAGAACGTCTCTTGCACCCAATTAAAACCATGGAACTGTGAGTCTTGCGACTCCATTTTCGCTGACACCATGCAGTGGAAATCTAACTGCAAGTTCCAACCTTGTGGCGATGTTTCTATCGGCTGGAATGAAAAAGATAGTATTTGCGATTTGGAAACTACGGTAGGTGACCACAAGTGGAAGCGGATACAGGGACACCCACCGCTGAGCCTCAGTACAGTCAGCCTCGTTAGCTTCCAACCTGACAGACACAGTCAATATCATGTGAATGCTCCGATAATCCTGTCTCCAAATACAATGAGTATGCCTATGGAGGCCAAGAGGTGTGTCATATTAGATGCTTAGTTGTGCCACCGGGAATATTCAGGTTATATAGCGCAAGTACCTGCTTGGATGTTTTCTTAGCACCATTCTAGAATGAGCGAGCAAATCTCAAGCGAGTTAAGAGCAACCAATGATACTGTTCTTCGGGTATGGTACTCTGGCTGTGTCACGTTGGAGGGCTCAGGTTGGAAAATTATCCCGCTCCTTACATGGCAGTTATCTATATAGCGGGAGAACAACCCGTCTGGTTAATCTTCCTATGTTTGACATCCTCCAGTCTCCTTGGGTTTCTTTTCTCTTTGCTCGTTTTGAGATATCCTCTCATGAAGAATTGATACACAAACAATTAACAAAGCATGTCGAGACTGAATGCCATTATACTCGAGCACAAAGAGCTAATCGAGTCCCGGTGCTTAAATAGTCGATAAGTCCCACGTCAACTTCCGATACTCAGCATCAATATTTATTCTAACAATCTAACAATTCAACAACCCAATATTCCAGCAGATCATCTTTATCTATCTTCTTCGCTCTTATCATCTTCCAACATGTCGAGAGCCACCTGCGATTTTGAGCGGGGAATGAGTATCAAAAACATGAAACAGATATGGCAAGCACTTGGTATCTTCAGCCGGCATGAAGATCGGAGGGCAGTCGGACGTATTGTTGAGCTAGTAGTCTACGCTCCTCTCTACGGTACTTACTTTTATAAAAGGCATTCTCACTACAGAGAGTATAGACTTCGCAAGCCAGATCTTTTACTAGCTTTGTCTACTCAGCTTAATGAGCTCCCAGCGGCTGTAAGGGCTCATGTTCCAGATGATGACGAGCTTTGTATGCGCCTATACGATCTTCTCCGATTCATGCGATATACTCATTCCGAGCAGGGGTGGAAGCCAGAGGAATGGGACTTTCTAGAGAGTGTCACTCAATGACAGATCTCTACAGAGAGAAAGAATGCGGTGTATTTACTATCAATGGGAGCGGAGAGGGAGAGAGGGGAAGAAAAAGAAGGGAACAGGGGCCTATCTATTTACATGGCTCCAACTTTATGGGTGGCATAATTTCAGTAAAGGCCAACAATTGAACGGAAGTGAAGAGGTATAGACACGGCTGACAATCTACTATTTACTGCTCCGGCTCATTGAAAAGAGTGACAAGTTCAAGAATGAGGTCAATCGAGGGCATAGAACATGATGCAAGTACAGATGTGAGATTATTCCTACTTTTGGTTCATACCATTTTTTCAAATATATTGTGTTTTGACGTTTATGGAGAATCCACATCCAGACAACACTTCCCTTCTCCTCCAGTATCTCAGATCTAAATGTATAATTTAAGAACGTCTAAACACCAGGCTTTCTCTGGTAGAGGTCTTCCTATCTAGCTGTCACATTTGGAAGCCATGCAAGCACTGTGAGCTAACATAACTAGAAGTAGAAGCAAATAGTGATATGAATTCAACAAGAGGTGTAATGGTTTGCACAGTAGATGTTGAGAACAAAGTTGGTGGGTATTAGTATTACCAACAGCTAATTCTAACTCTACCAGTGTACGCCAGTTGTCCACAAGTTGGCGAGTCCTATGACTAGGCTAGAAATTTAACACTATCAAAATCAAACCGCATAACATGAATTCATCGCTAACCACCACTCGTCAACAAATAAAAAAGTGAATCCACCATCTAGAAAAAAGTATCAATAGTCCAACCATAACATAACCAAGAACCACAAATCAGAACCATTCAAAATACCACAGCTTTTCCCTCTAAAAAGTCCACAATCATACCAAAGAAGCGTAGTCATCAGCATCCATAATGTCATAAAGTCATAACGCCCTCCTCTAGCCAAATCAAACCTCAACCTCAAATCCTCCCTCCAAATCCACCCCTATCATCCCCCTCGTTCCCAATCCTAACGGGACTACTTCCCCCACTCCAACTTCCGCCCTGTGAACTACCACTCCCACTAGCACTCCTGCTCCCAGACCCGAATGAAAGCACATCATCCTCACGAACAGTCTTTCGTCCTGCGCCAATGGCAGCACGCATGCCCTGCACAGCGCCGCCGTGCTCATGACCCGCAGGGTACCTGCCATCATTGACGGAGAAGTTGCGACAGATAAGGTAGGCACGCATAGCGGCGCTCTCGCGTGCGAGAGTCTCGTTGCTGCAGATGCTGTCGGTTTGGTACTCGCGGTTATTGACACGCACGGTGCAGGTGTATCCACTGCTACTTATGTATGCGTTGTAGATTGGTTCGGGCCAGTTGCGGCGCCGGCAAAGGCCTGGTTTGAATTTGGTTAGTTTGATTTTCTAGTTGGTGGGGTTGGTTGGGGGCTTGGTAAGAGGGGACAGTATAAGCCCTGGGTGCTTGCTTTTCTGTATTGGATGCTTGGGGGTTGGCTCGTGCTGGCAATGATGCATGACATACATAGCTCGGGGAGGAGGTAGTGGGGAGAGTGATGACATACTGGTTAGGTAGAGGATATAATACATCTTGGGATTCAGACTGGGCGCAAGCAAGCCGGAAGCAAGAAAGACGGGAAAACTGGAGACGGGCGACGATGACAGCGTTGCCACTCGTCTTACTGCAACGAATTGCGATGATTACTCCACACACATTGGACGGATCTGGCTTGCAGGGAGACAGCTTTAGGGCGGATGCTATGCTGCCAGCTGGTGTGCAGTCAGGATATATGCGGATCGTGATGCCCAACGGCTGGCGGGACCACGTTTGCTTTGCTAGTAGCGGGGAGGATGTGCTGGCGTTCCAAACAAAAGCACTATTATAATGCTAGTAAAGGCCAATATCTAATTCAAAGAGGAGGGGGGATGAGAAGCACGAGAATGAGAGCAATAGAGAGGGATTGAGAACTAAATCAAAATGAAAGAAGTATTGGAAAGATGTCACACCCATATACAGATATAGTAGAACCGAGTCTCCCCCCCCCCCTCTCTCTCCGTACAACAGGGGGAAAAAAACAAAAACAAATTAATGAGGGGAACAGAGCTGCTGCTTGCCATATACTTGATTACTTCTGGAAAATAGGTGGGGCTTTTTGCATTGATACCCTTCCCAAGTCATACCGTGAGCTGGCCGGTGTACACAGTACCAACAGAGGGAAACGGTTGCAATTGCGACAGCGCACAAAGAAACAGAAAAAAAGAAGACATCTGGTGTCAATGCAGATTACCTGAAGAAGAAAAAGGTATTGAATTAGAAAGTTAAAACTACTAAGATTTTAATACCCACCGTTGAAAGATTCAAAGGGGGAAAAAAAAGAGAAAAGACGAGTAAACAGTAAACAGTAATAGTAATATTAAGCAGCTAGTAAACAATCACATCTCGAAAGAGACCCTAGGACACGGATCTGTAATCCGAGTATAGACTACCTCCTTCAAGTAAACAAAGTACAAGAGAAGAGAAGAGAAAAAGATAGATGCCCGCAAACGCCAGACTCGCATTGGACCTCGAAAAAGACCCCAAAATAAAATAGTAACAGTAACTCAAACGGGTGTTCGACGTATTTCGTGTGCCGTTTTCTCGGCAGGTTTTTACTGATGCGCTGGCATATCTCTTTGCCAGTAGAACCGGGAGTCACCGTGGGTAAGCTGTCTGATTATGCCCCTGCAATTCGCCGATCAAAACATAAACATTCTCGGAGACTAAGAGACATCTTGTAATCTGCAGAAGAATAATATCTGAAGATTATGGATCCTAGTATTACGGAGTGATTGGAATGAAATAGCGGGTGCTATAGTGGTGCTATATTATACTTCGTACACAGGTTGTTATTTTTTTGTGACTTCTCGGAATAGCCTCTTCATTTCATTTTTGGCCCCGCAGACACATCAAAGTACAATTAAATTTGCCGCCCTGCTAGATATCGAGACGCGCAGGGATGATTGGCGCCAAGGAGGGGCCGTTCATGTTGTGCAGAACGCGTCTGAAGAGGGGTCAATGGCTTGTGAAAGGGCTATGAGTCAATGAAATAATCAAAGTAGACAAGATCAAGTGGGTAATCGGGTGAATTGGAATATCGGAGAATGGGAAAATGCATGCACGCCCCGAGGAACTTCAATTACTCGGGCATCGGACGCAGTGATGAGCTGGCATTGCAGTGGGGAAAGGCGTTAGATTTATCTGCATATTCTGATGATTACGTTTGCCCTCTTGGGCCTCCTGCAGCTTATGTCTTTGTGGCAAACACATTATGATGTACATCGTAGGAGCATTTCATATTGATCAGCGAGAATGGCGGGAGAAGTAAAATCTTCATTAGCGCTGAAGGGGGCGGGGGTTATTTTTTTTTTTTGAAAACTTCGGAAAATCGGTGAAAAGACTGCCAGCGCAAAAGAAAAAAAAACCCCTAGATTGGTGCTGTGTGCTATGACCTATGTCGTAAAGTCATACTCGGGCCCCCGACATTCCCAACCCAACCCCTTGCGTCTGGGTCTCGTTCACAGCATCTTCCTTGGCTTGGCCAAAACCATCCTCGTGGCTCCCATGTTACAACCGCTGCTATGACCGTGGGACTTGCAGTCTCAAGCATCCCAGACTAGTCGTGCATATGCACTCGCTCGGAGTCCTGGGTTACCAATGACACCTGCTTCAACTTTCTGAAGCCAACCTCATCCGTCGTGGCGCTTTGTCCCGTGTCTTCTTGTTGAGGCTAGACCGTGAGGGGCTGGGTCTCGGACCAGAGCCGCATTTGCTCCGCGGCTTTGTGGGGGATCACATACAAAGGGTGCATTGGCTCTAGCCGGTCACCTCTCGAAAACACATTGCCCGGATCGCGGCTCAGTGAAGTCTTCCAGGAAAACGAGGATGAAAAGTTGCCGCTTGAGACACTCGAGTCTGTCCGGTAATGATGGTTTTGAGTGGCGCTCAATCCGGCCATAACGTAACAGGTGTGGTATGAATCGACATGTCTGGGTCCTGGTCAGCTACATGTGCAAAAGGGACTGTCATAGATAGGAGTGAACATACTTGCCCGGTTTGTCACGAAGACCACCATCGATCCCTTGACAACATCCAAGGATGTATCGGGTTAGACCTTCGCGACTGAAAAGACTGTTGGCTGGTGGTTCGGTGTTATTCGGCTTTCCCTCCAGAGAGGATTCAAGCAATGGCCAGCATCCACCAACCCAATGGCTGTAGCATCCATCTACCAGCTTATTTGTTCGTCCGGAAAGTCCACCTTCTGGGGCGGACTGGCGTGCGGACAACCATGACACTAACATGGGAATATCCATGTGCCTGTCAGGAACCATTAGCATCTGAAAAACAGAGCATTCTAAGCTATAGTAGTCGCGCACCTGTTAAAGATCTCCTCGGGAGGTCCCACAATTGACAGGCATGCCAGAGCGCAAAAGGCGTATGCCCCATGGGCCTCCGACCCAGGGCTACCGGAGATACCTCCTTCAAAGGTTTGGCCTAAGGGCAAGCGTCAGCACATCTCAAGCCTGCTATAAACCAAGCCATTGGACTCTTACATCGTGAGAGATATTCAGGAAGACCACTCGTCAAACTCTCCAATCCGGCTTCCCGCGCTTGAGAGCCCGGGGCAAGCGTCAGCGGCAGATCAAGTAGCGAAATCAGAGTCATGGCGCAGTATGCGCCACTGCATTAATGACAGGTCAGATCTTGCATCGAGGAAGGGGAACGGGATCACAAGCAAGCGCCTGCCCCAGCCCTGTAGTTTCACTTACCGCACATCTTCCTCCCCGCCCTCACACACACGAAACCCTCCATCTGGTTGCTTCAATCTGCTGATCCATTGCCACCTAAGGAAGCCGGAAAAGGGTCAGACGCACAGGATCAACCAAGACGCACAGCAGGAAGCTGCCGGTGACAACTCACATCGCGTTTCGATCCACCAATCCAAAGGCTTCCTCGCTTCCAACCATAGCCAGCGACAGGATGGCTGCATAACTGCCTGCCAGATGGGATGTCTGGCCATGACCGCCGCCAAAACCACCTGTGGGGTTCTGCATCGGCCGAAGCGTAGTAATCACACTAAAATAGAGAAAAGTTTAGAATGGCATTTTTTGGTCCATGTTTCACGTTGTACAGATGAGATGATCCTTTCCAATCAGGGTATATCTCCTCCAGAGGCTCTCCATTGTGTGGGCATATGACAGATAGAAAAAAGCAAATAGAAAAACGAGGGGAAAGGAAAATAATATAAAAATAAATAATAATAAAAAAAAGCAAGGATGTAAAGCATGCACGCACCGTTCGCAAAATCGAGTCGTCTCTTCTCCCAGCATGGCGAGTCCCGCCAATGCCCAATACACAATCCACGGGCGGCTGGCATCCATAGCGACGAACCCCTCGGGATAATCTTCGAGGGCATCATAGAGGAAGCTGGCGTGGATATCACGTTGCAGAGCGGGCACGCCATGTTTGTTGAAGTCCTTTTGGGTGCTGTGGATGCCTTTCAGGAATGGCAGGCATTTTTCCACCGTCGCGTTCTGCAGATCGATGGTCTCGGTGATGAGCGGGTCGCGGATGGGCGGCGGCTGCGTAAACAAGGCCGGGATCCCCGAGCGCGGTTGATTAGAGTCAGTGGCTGTAGACATGGTCTTTTTGGTTGAAGCTAATGTTGAGGTTGGGTTGGGTTTTTGTGCGTTCGGGAATCGAACTTTGCGAGGCTTCCCGATGAGCGGCATGGGGGTATTTTTGTAGATTTTGAAGCTCAAAGAAATGTAAATGGAACTTTTCTTACTATTGTTCTGTGAATGTGAATGTAAAAAGTCTAGAATTATTCTTTACCCCACTCGTTTCTCTACCGGGTATTCTCTCATCTTTGACATCACAACATGGTCTCGGATTATTCACTTCCTCGATCTTCGGCTAAACCTAGGAGTTCTCGTGGGCCGGAGATGCATACAACGTAGTCTGTATATCGAGTGCTACTATGGAGTACTCCTGAAGAGGTCCTGCATGTCACAGAAGTCAATATATATATATATATATGTGATGGATCTGACGCCATGTAGTATATTGCTTACCCTTGCTGCATGTGCCCAGGTGTCCCCCACTATCCGTGCGAAATTTTTAAAAAAAAACCAGACCTGTCCAATCTCTTGTTTTCACCAGGGTTTAGTATACTGACTTGGCACTCTCAACAAGATTCCACATAACGGAGTGTGTTGAGCGGCACGATTTACGGAGTACTTTTTTGCAATATACATACCTTAGCGCTAGATTACTACATATATTATTTTCAGGAATTCCTATGCATGGTCAGCATCTCAAACTGGGCTAAATGAGAGATACGAAGAAAAGCAGCTGATTGGATCTGATTGGGAAGGACTTTATTTTGGGGACACGATCCGACTGTCAGATCTCGGTTATTCCTATTGCCACGCAGTGCATACGCACTTTTTTATTATTATTTTTTTACTTTTCCTCTCCACTGATCTTCCGGGTTCGGTCTCACGGATGATTTAGCATGGTGTCAGAACCCAGGGGAAAATATACATAATAG